CTAATAGCGAATTCGGTTGCTTGCACTAGTGTGCACTGAGTGCGCACTAAGGCTTGTTCATAGTATGTTATTATATTTAAAGATTGTCTTAAATAATTCTCAAATAAATTCTCAAATATTTTTAACCATAATATGATATGTATAACATCCGTACGAATCATTTTATTAGTTAAAATGTTTTTAAATATGTATTTAAGACACGATCTTAAATATAAGAATGTACTGTAAACAAGCCTTAATGCGCACTCAGTGCGCACTAGTGCAAGCTACCGAATTCGCTATAATACGACGTAAATCGTGTGTGCGTGTGTGTGTGTGCGCGCGTGCGTGCGTGTGTGTGTGTGTATATGTAATACGGGAAAATATCAGTATTTATCAGTAAAGTTTTCATACATGTGGCATTTCTTTAAAAAGAGAAATACATAGTTTAATAAAAAAATAATATTCTACAAGATTGTAATTTACAAGTTATTGATATCTACCATGAGAAATGCACAATAATATTCAATTGTATTTGCAATATTCAAGTATAAAATATTGAAACAAGACAAAATCACGAAGGAACGAAATTTTATTGTTTACACAGTGTTCATAAAAATCTCTAAACAAATGCTTTAGAAAAATGCAAGTAATTGTATTATAGCAATAATAAATTAAAGTATTAACGATAAATTGTCTGTTATTAACAATGTTATATGTCGCAAATCCTCGAAGTTTATGTCGTGCTTTAGGTAACTGTAAATATATTTATATAAATTCTTAAAGAATTACATTTTCCGACTGATAGTTTACAATATTGAATCTTTCTTCATTGCAAACGTTAATGTATATTCATATAGAATATATGTTTCTGATAGGCACCTCAATGCTGAATATAGAAAACATCTATGATAAATATACAAATGCATACGATATCGCACATATCGTGCGAATTATACTTGCAATATAAACCTTGTATTATTACAAGTTTCTATCTGATACAAATAAATTATTCTTTAGCCTATCTATATTCTTTAAGATTCTGTAGACTCTTGTTGTTCGAATTTAGGATACTTGGCTTCTACTTCCGTCCAAGTAATCCTGCCATAGGAAAGATCTTTCACGACACCAGGCAGCTCGTCCAACTACGGTTAAAAAATTCGTTTTTCATGTTAGTAATAATAATTAAAAAATAACATTGGTATATTTTACTTATGTACTCATTAATATTATAACATACTTGTTAAAATGTCACTAAAAATGTAAGCACTATCAATTCAACATTAAATTGCAGTTCTTTATGACTCGTAAAGTGTCATAAAGATTAGGTGTGTTCAGAACAGAGAAAGAGCTGCTTTGCAAATGTTATAAAATTCGTCAATCAGAGTGATGTATGCCTTTCATTTTATCTGAATCTAAAAGCATATACCAATCAGATTCACGAATTTTACAACAGTTACGAAGTAGCTTTCTCTAGTAAACACAGCCATTAATTTGCTATAGCGAATTAGTAATTAGATCTTTCGGATTGATTACGATTCCAAGCATCACAAATTTCATATTTTTCATTTATTAAAGTAAAGTGAATATACATACGTTTATTCTAACTTGTCCCATGCTATCTCTGTCCCGCAGCGTCGCGCTGTGCGGTGTCTTCAGAGTGTCGAAGTCGATGGTGATGCCGAATGGTATTGCTATTTCATCAGTACGAGCGTACCTGCGTCCTATGCTACCTGAAGAATCATCCACTTTGTGTGATACGTCCACTCTCGTAAGATCTTGTGCTGTTACCGACAAAATCAAAATTGTCAATACATAAAAACCAAGTATTGAACACGAAGAACATTCTATCAGAACAACGCAATAGATTCAGGAAGTATTACTTTACATAAAAATATAACGCATAAGTTCAGAAAGTATCACTTACATAATTTCTTGACGAACGGCACGAATTCGTCATTGCCACTGAGAGGTAATACCGAGCACTTCAACGGTGCTATCACAGGTGGCAAGGCGAAGTACGTTCTCTTTTCGTCGCCCTCTCTCGCCCGGAAGTTATGCTCAAACAGAGCGTACATGATCCGACCGATGCCGAAAGAAGGTTCAACCACTGACGGCACGATTTCCTCTACGTGAACGGTCTTTTGATAACGCTTTACTTCTATCATATCCTTAGTGATCCTTACGGTGTTGTCGGACAACGCAAGCTCGTACTCGCCGTTCTCGTTGAGGGCCTTCTCCAAGGACACGATCTGATCCTCGCTCAAGGCCGCTAACGCGTTTTGCACGGCTTTGCTGTCCTTCCTGAACGTTTTGCCGATCACCATTTTGTTCGAAGCGACCTCGCAAACGTTCACAGTCTTCGGAGCGGGTAACTTCTTCTCCGCTACCAGCTTCACGCCGGTGGCACGAGTATGTTGCGTCAAATCGTATGCGGAACGATCCGCGCAGCCTACGCACTCGACCCAACCGTAGGAAGTGAGACACTCTGCGTCCCAACAGTCGCAGGCATAATGTGCCATCTCGTTGCTCATGTGCTGGCGGAAGCGTAGACGATGCGGGTCCACGCCGACCTTCAGTAAGAACTGATGAATTCGCACCATGAAGTAGCCAAGCGTCTCGTTCGCCACGAGACCGGACGCCACGGCCTCGCCTATAGTGATGTGCTGCGCGCTCTTGCCATCCATCTGATTGCAGGCGGAGTATAGCAGCATGCCGATGTCCTTGACTGCCTCAAACTTAGGGTGATTCTTGTAGTTGGGATCACAGAAGTGTTCGATCTCTGCCATGGTAAACTCACGGACGCGTATGAGACCGGATCGCGGCGAGATCTCGTTCCTGAAGGCGTTGCCAATCTGCGCCACTGCGAAAGGTAGTCGCTCCTGGTTGAAATCTAACAGTCGTTTGAAGTTTACAAAGATACCTTGAGCTGTCTCCGGCCTCAAGAAGCCTTTGATGAGACCGGTTGGACCAATCTGTGTACCGAACATCAAATTGAATTCTATCGGTTCCGTCAAGTCGTTACCAGATACCGGCGACTTCATGCCGTACTTCAACAAGATCGCAGCCATCTCGTCTTTTGTCATGCCGTCTAACTTGACGACAATGTCTCTGCACTCCTCGCGAGTCTCCTCGTCAGTCTTCTTGTCGCAAATCACTTTCTCCAAGTGCGCTTTGATCAGGTGATCCAGCCGAAAACAATCGCCGGTCTTTACGTCCTTCACCATCAGGTCGGCAAAGCGTTCCACGTGGCCGGACGCCTTCAGCACTGGCTCGGGCGTCAAAATGGAACAGTCGACCTCCAGCATCTGTTCCTCTAGCACAAAGAAATTCCTCCAAAAATTTATCAAGTTAGTCTTCAACGAGCAGCCCATAGGTCCGAAATCATATTGACCTGCAACACCGCCATAAATCGCGAACGATTGATCCAAGAAGAATCTACGCTTTAAGAGATCTTCCATTCTCGCTCTGTCAAACGTCACATTGTTGGAAGCCAGAGAGAGTTCCTTATCTTCTAGTATTTTCTTGCGTAGCTTTAATTCTGCTACAGCTTTTTTAATGTCCAACTCTGGTGCACCGTCAGACTTCAGCTTCCGTACATAATCACCCTGCAAATACACAAAAAATATGTAGTTATATATAAGAAAAGTATAATGTTCAGTTACAAAAGATAGCATTACATGTACATCTTAACTTACATATTAATGTTTTGGATAATCAATACAGGAAAGTTTTCTTAAAAATTCATCATAATTTTCCATGATGCTTGTTTCATAAAAAATTATATTTCATGTTATTTTTCACACAAGAATATAAGATATAAGTAATTTAAAATATAATTCTGTGTCAAAAAAAAAAAAAATATATATATATATATATATATATATATAGAAAATAAGATTTTTCATATGTTTAAATATAGCAGATTCAACTATATTAATTTTTTGTTGAACACACTGGTTAATTTGATTGCAAAGATTCTGTGAAAAATAATTGGGAAAGGACAAACCCTCTGCACAGTCACACACGTTTATATTAATATGCAAAATACTCTTATTAAAAAAGGTGTCAAATTTCACAATACTAAATACTAGATAAAAAATATTCATAATTAAACTTATATAAGATTGGTTAAAATATTCAAAGATCTTAATTTCTTATCAAATATTAACACTGACAATACTGTACAATACTGTACATTTCTTTCAAATGAAAAGATTAAAGAATATATAGTTATATCTGAGAAAAAAATTATTTTTTTCTCAGATATTTTTCAGTTACATGTAATAATGTTACATGTGCATCTTAACTTATATATTACTTTTAGACAATTGATAGAAAAGTTATCTTAAAAATTCATCATAATTTTCCATGATACATGTCTCATAAAAGACAGAATTATATTTCAGATTGTTTCTCAGAATCATAATCTAAAATATAATTTTGAGGAAATATACAGTTACAGACAAATATAGGTTTGTCACATATGTAAATATAGCACATTGAACTGTATTAATTTGTTTGTTAAATGAACACAGCCTGCACTGATTTTATATTTTAATTGTGAAAACTCCAAAGCTCCAGAGAGAATAACTAAGGAGAGACACAAGTTCTCTGCAGTTATACAACAACTGATACCAATGTTTGAAATACTCCTATTAAATAGATTTTAAAATATTAAATTTTACAATATTAAATGTTAAATATTATTCATAAAAACAAAGGTTAGTTAGAATATTCTGAAAACTTGATGTCTGTGATCAAAGCATCACTGATATTACACTGACAATATTACAAATTTCCTTTGAAAAAGTAAAAACAAAATTTCTAATTTCCATCCATATGGCACTTACTTGTTCCTTAACATTCGCCCGGAGCGGTGCCAGAACTTCCTCGACCTTAGGATCCGTCATGTTGAGCACGAGAGCAATCTTCAGTTTCCTATTCGCCTTCCTGGTGCCCCACCGGCTAAAGTCACGTAGACTAGCGGTAACAGTGATATTTCTGACAGGTTGTTTCGCGAGAGGAACTTTACTGGACACGTGGTGCGCCGCTATCCTATACACGACGTGACATAAACCGCGCTGGAAAAGATGCATTCGTAGAGGAGAATGCGCGTTGCAACTTTCACATATTCACTGTGCCATGCGTTCGCCAGGGCCGTTTCATTATTCGAAGTAGCCTGGAGCACCTCGGACATACGTTCTTTTCTTCAGTGCAGGAAGTGCAAATAAGTGCAGTCAAAACGAACATGATGTCTCTGGGTGCTTTCCAATTGCTTAACACTCTTGACACACACGTACACAAAACCAGTTTATTGGTCACATATTATCTAAAATATCTTGTAAAATTTTTACCTTGATTTGCTTTGTTCCAATTGGTCAAGTTCCAATCTTTAATCGTCAATCATCAATCGTCAATCGCTAGTGTGATTTGACCTTAAGACGTAACGTAAAATTGACAAATCATGTTGAGAATCGTCAAATCGTAAGGTCGCCATTTTTATGAATACTCAATCGTAATTGGTCAATTCTTATGTTACGCTTACGGTAAAGCGTCTTCTACAATGGCAGTAGGAGTAGTAGTAAGAAATAAGCAGTAAGTAAATAGACCAATCACAATCGATTATTTTTGAAACGTGAGAATGGAATTGGTCAATTTGCTTACTGCTTATTTCTTACTACTACTCCTACTGCCATTGTAGAAGACGCTTTACAGTTAAGCCCGTATCAGACTATAGATTAGGATTGAGATTGAATTGAAATTTAGCCAATCAGAGCAAAATTCACTAAGCTCAAGTTTGGTGAACTTTGCTCTGATTGGCTAGTTTTTAATTCAATCTCAATCTTAATCCGTAGTCTGATACGGGCTTTACAGTTGCAGTAACAGGCAACCCACCATACACAGTTCTTCGCTTGTGTGCGTTGCGCCGCACGCACTATAGTTAAGGTTATCACACACAAAATTCCGTAAGAACTTAAATCGTAAGCGTAAGGAACTCAACCAATCCCAATCGAATATTCGGTTCTTCGTAATAATGGAAGGGTTACGAAGGGCCGAGTGCTCGATTGGGATTAGTCAATTTCTTTACGCTTACGTTTTAACTTCTTACCGAATTTTGTGTGTGATGGTCTTTACGCGTACTTGGTCCCACATGTGGCAGCTCTGGGCTGCGTTCGAAAACGTCACCCAAGTGTACCCGTTATGTTGGAGTGAGCGAGATACAAGAGTGAGATAAAAAGAAAGGAAGAGTACTCGAGTGACGTTTTCGAACGCAACCTGGTAGGAGCACGTTGGAGTATGCGATGCGAACAAACCTTAAGCACATATCAGACTACGGATTAAGATTGAGATTGAATTGAAAATTGGCCAATCAGAACAAAATTCACCAAACTTTAGCTTAGTAAATTTTGCTCTGGCTAAATTTCAATTCAATCTCAATCTTAATCCGTAGTCTGATACGGGCTTTACATATACTATAGCACTTCTAGTAATAGAATAGCACTTCTAGTAATAGAAATCCGGGTGGGGAATTTGAACGCAGCCCAGTATGGTTAGAGATCAATGATACGAATTAAGACTGGTTTATGATGGCCGTAATCCATTACTTATGCCGGAACCGTAAAAAATTAACCAATGACAGTCGATTATTCTTCTATAATTCGACTGTAATTAGTCAGTTTTTTACGGTTCCGGCATAAGTTAACAGATTACGGCCATCATAACCAGCCTTTATGATACCTTATGGCTTCTGCACACAGGACGCTTGTCGCGCGGTAAGAAACGACGCGGTCAATTAGCATACCGATTTTCCATAAAGCCTATTCTACAATTGCGTGAACGCGGTTGTAAGTAGTTCTAAGTGATTACGACAACCAATCAGAGTAAAGCAATCAGTGAATAAAACATTCGGATTGGTTGACTCTTACGTTCACGACTACGCTTACGCAATTGTAGAATGGGCTTAAGAGCTAGAAGCTCACTGATGACTGCCTCTTTTCTTGTTGCACGACACATTTTCACCAATTGAATTTGCCAATAGATACGATACGCTTGTTGGTTCATTTTTAAGGACATAGAGGCGTTGCGCACGCAAGAATCAAGGAGAACCAACCTGTGGCCTTTCTCATTCTTTTCTATAGCCATAAAAAACTTATTTTAATTTCATGTGAGTATTCATAAATTTAAATCATAATTTCTAATTATTTGCTCTTTTTAAAATAGCGAACTTCTGACATATTAATTAATAGCTCAAATTGACAGAATAATGGAATTATCAGTGTAATATAATGTTAGTATATACACAATTCGTTATTTTATATATTATTATAAAATAAAATTTACTCCCTCTAAAGTTTACTTTATGAAAAATATCTAATAAGATTTATTTGCGTTCACTACAATGTGATAATCTTCTCGGAAAGTTAATATTCATGATTATAGTTAAACAATGTATATTGTAGTTGAACTAATATAGCTCAGCACATATATGTATAAGTACCTATCTATAAAATATTTTTAATCGCTCGCTTTAGAAAATCACATACATTGATATCTTATGATAAAAACATCACGAAATAAAATACAGTCATTCACGAAACGGCGCTATAAATCTTCAATTATTCGCTTTAACAAAAAAAAAACAGGCCCGTTTAATTCATCGAATATTTTTATTGGTGAATTATTTTATCTCGTCTCGTACACCATAAAGCGCGGTTTATAGAAAAATTACAATGACATCAAACTTGTAAACCGCAGAAATAAAAGAGATTGCGACACTAGCGCGATTATTCTTTTTTGACAGCAAATTTATCATAACTTTTCAATAAACCCAGCTTGCGTGTAACATATATTTAGCCATCTTAATGTGTACAGACGAAAGGAGTGTGTCCAGAAAATACGGACCTATGAGTTAAATACAGTTTTGGTCATATTTAAAACAAATACTATGTAAAAAACAAGTATATATAGGCTTCATTCTTCTCTTTCTCTCTCTCTCTTTTCTTCTCTCTCGTTCTCGCTTTGCGCAATAGTAACTTGATCAAAACAATTTTCATCAGTGTAAACAATTTATTTTACATAATAGCAATACTCCGACATCGAAAAAAGCAATAATGGCTAATGTATAATAATAAATAAAGTATGAAAAGTAAATAATGGGTATTTACAAGTATGTAAATGGCAGAGAAGCTACAACAGAGATGAAATAATTGTGTTTTGACAAATATGTGAACTGTTCGTTCTGAAAGTCATGCAAGTCAATCCTGAAAATTTATTTAAAGCGCACACATTAATCCGTATTTATGCCTCATTTTTGTAAATTCAATTCTTAAAATAATATTATTAGTCATTCTATTCATATTCATTGTTATTGTATTTATCGTCAAATATTGAATATCCAATAACAGTTTAATATTCACGACTCACATTTGACAACAAGTGATATAACGCTGAGAGAAGATACAAATGTACAGTATATTATCTTGATGAAATCGAATGCGATTTTCAAAAAGTCCGCAAAGAAGATTGGAGAGTAGAAGTTTGCCGCGTGTAGCACTAAATACGCTCATATATCAAATGTACACATAATCCACAAATTTTTACAAACCCCATTGTTTATTACCAACATGCACCCCGAAACAAATCAAGAGACACTGAGAGAGAAATTACTTAATTATCAAAATAATTCCTGTCGTGCTTCAGCACTCTCTCTCATACTTCAGGCAATTCACATATCTCAGCCTAATAATATCAATAAAAACCAATCTATTTGGAGTCGAGCTAGGCCGTTATTCTTGAAATAGTTGCGTATACGTAAATTTTACTGCGCACGTTTAATCATACCATAAAATAGCTGCGCAATGAAAATTATGTATACGCAAAGATTTCAAGAATAGGGGCTCTGGACTCTGTAATTCGTCTGAAAGGTGGAGAAACGCGCTGAGAAATAACAAAAATTATTCTGACAATTGAGTCATTTCGGTGTGTATCTCGATCATAAACAATTAAATCAAGAAAATAATGAATTCTTCATTTGTACATTTAATAACTTTCGACTTATGATAACGCTGAAATCGCGCTAAACGAAAACAAAATTTCTCCACGAACAGCCGCACTTGGTGCTAAACACGCGATCGTAAACGTCGTCGTGACTTCGCAATGTGAGCCCGCATCACTTTCAGAACGAACGGCTCTCATTCTGCGCGCACGATTTTCTTTTTTCTTTTTTTTTTTACAGCGGACTCGTTTCCGTCGCCTGTTCGCGATCGAATTGCACAACTTATTCGCACGTTGCGCTAACGTAATACCTGTACACTTAGAATCTACGAAACGTGTGGCCGCAACGCGTCTATCAAAATAAACGAGACGTCGCGTCCGCTGGCGCGCGGCGAAGAGGCGACGGAGGCCCGCCGCGTGAAGACATAATACATACTAATAATTAATATATTCAGCATGAACGCTTATTTCGTTAGAGTAATTCGTCTATCGCAGAGGTATTCAACCTGTGGAGTACCCTCGGAAGAAATGCGCGTGAGGACGCGTTCGCGTTCGGAAACTAGAGGGGAAAAAATCGGATCGCACTTTTCCGGAAAAGAGCGATCGGCGCAAGATGCATTAATATAACGGATACAAAATTCTATAAAACACTTGCGAATTCAGAATGACAGTTTCAAATTCGAATTAGAGCACCTTCGAGAACGAGAGAGTATTAGATCGTGAAGAAATATTCTTGGGAATATACAAACTTCTGAGAAGATACATGACAGTGAGCAGAGTGCCGAAGAAATACAAGCGCGCAAAGATTCGGAAATGAATTTACACAGCGAGAGAGATCCTGCCCTCTCTCTCAGAAATGATTCACACAATAAAAACATATGTATATATGTATATATATTAAAAGTGTACAAAATAGTCCTATAAAAACCCTCGGCGAATGAAGGATTGCAGTATACGCTGCTAATCGCGCACAAAGCGTAAATATATGTGACACCGATAAAAATATCTTTAAAGAGAGCAGAGGAAGGTCCAAATAAGATTAACACTCAGCATGGCGTGACGCCGAGGAGGAAGGGGTTGAATACCACTGGTCTATAATATCTTCAGGGAGCACCATGATAGACCCGTGCGCGCCTCTGTGTTCCACTTGGAAAAATGGATTAGCCATCTCGTGCCCGATTGACTTACACTAACGTAAATGCAACAATTTCGACCGAGCGTCGCGAAGGGCAGGGCTCGAGGGAGACCTTCTTCTCCCGCGCCACTTCTTCGCGTTTCCCGCGAAACCAAGGTCAGCGGCGACATCGATTCCGGACAAGAGCGTACAGTGCGAATTCGACACGAGATTATTAATAAAATATCACAGTTCCGAGTCTGAAGAGTCGCTCTCTGAAAATCATGGCTCTCCCTACGTTCCCGTAATGCTACGTATCCGAGATAGTGATTCTTAATTTTTTTTTTTCGTTTTCTTTAATCATAAGACATCCTAGTTAACAACAATCCTACGCTCTACTCAGATTAGCTATTTCGGAAACCGTAACGTTTAATAATAATACGTAGTCCATATACAACTCGCTAGGGATGCTGTAGACTGTGTTTACTGGCTGCTAAATGTTCCAGGTGAATACTGTACGTATGTTACGCGTGATAAATGGTATGGAAAAAAGTTTTCAAGATGACGCGCGACTTGGACTCACACCGTTGCGGCGAATGTCGGCCTCAGCGCGTCATGAAAAAGAGAAAAGACGATGATGCGTGTTCTAAAAATCAAATTCACGGAAGAGTGATGCATAATGCAAACCGACGTAGCTCTTCGCAACGCAGCGGTCTCGTTCCGAAACAACCACTATTGTAATGAAGTCACCACCTCAAGCATGACTGCGAGATCTTAATCCGAGTGTAAAATCTTCTCAACCGTCTCATTGAGATATGTCAATAAAATGGTACGGAGGAAAGATAAAGTTACTGTTGACAAAAGTGATTATACAAAAAAAAATTAATGTTTTAGAATAGTCTCATTTGATCAAAACTAAAGTTATACAAAAACTCTGTGAATAAGACGGAGAGAACATGGTCTATAATGTTTGGTGGACGCAACACAAGAAGAACCGGCTTTCGGAGCGAAACCATTGAATCGCCAAAAGTCACGGCATAACAGTCGAATATATATATCGCTATGATATATAAAGTACATCATATGGTAGAAGAGAAGAAAGCATCTCGCTGAACAGTAGGCTCTAATACAGTTCATGCACGTAGGTATTTCAACGAACATCTGCATTTTATAGTATAGCATCAATAATGTCAGTGTGGTCTATTCAGCTTGCAAGTATCCATTACTCTTCCTGTATCGTCCGAGGGGAATCTATCGAGTAACTTTAAATTCGTTAAAATCGTTAAAAATTTGCTGTGAAGATTTACTATGTCTTGTTTGTAAGTGAAGACTATAAGACGGCAACATGAATCAAAAAGATAAAAATTCTTCAAAGAAAAATAACTTACGAATGACTAACTGAACAGAAAAATAATATTACTGATGATGATCTTTATTTCTTTTGCAAATGAACTCCCAATTGATTCCCTGCTATGTATTATCTATGAAATGTCATCATTGATTGATCTCACAATAGAATCCTTGAAAAGAACGGCTTCAGTCTCGTACTTTTTCTCTTAGCCATGCTGTTACCTCTATAAATCTCGAAGTACAGATTTACAAATTGAAGACGCGCGTGTCATTGGCTATGATCGTCGATCAGTGTTAGAGAATTTCGTCCCGCTAGAATGACCCTCCCCTTCTTCAGTACACGGACTATATAAAAATGGGCTGAGTGACGTGTAAACGCTTGAAGCTAAATGATAGTATACAGCGTTCCTCTCTCTTCGATCATTCAGATGGTACAATTTACTCCTCATTCAATCTTGCCAGTCATACGCAGTCAGCAACTCATCATTTCGAACGTTAAAGAAACTACCGTTACTCAACTACTCAGTGAATGTTTCTGGAGGTATAGCGAAGTGATATATTACCTGGCAAAAGACAGATCGCGCAAGTACAAAAAGTAGAAAAAGTCGCGGGAGAACGCAATTAGTCGGTCCTAGCGTTGAGAAACGTATTTTAATCTAAATCGCACAGTGTAGCCTAAGCGCCCGTAAAAGAATCTCTCGTCGCACAAAGTCATCGAGGAGACTCATGAGACTGGAGGATCAAACAAAGGAGTGACTTGTACCGCTTGTAACGGGTACATTCTCGGTGGAGTTAACTAGTGAACAAACGCATCGCAAGAACATTACACTGACAGTCGAGTGTGATTAAAGTATTCTGAACATTTCAACAAATTGCACGGTTCAATGTTGACGATCGCGTTCACGCTCGCGCTCGCCCTCTGACGCATAATCGGCATCGCGAAGTACTCGAGTACCATCGCGATCGAATCTCTTAATATTTCAATATTTGTGACTAAATATTTACATCGATGCGTTTTACAACTTCAGTCTATAAGCTTCGGAACCACGACGGTAACCGCCTCCGAGTCTTCGCGACGGCTCTTCTTTCGCTTCGCGACCATTAAGATTACCCTTGAAACCTCATCACTTCCCTACTGTGCAGGTGGTTGAGGCTCGCTGGACATATTAGGATTCGGGTACGGCGACAGGAAAGAATAGTTGGGATATGGCGGCGGGGGATGCGGGAATGGCGGGTAATAATTGGGAGGATGCGAGGAAGGAGGGGCGTATCCTCTGTGCATGTAGGGATCCGTCGGGGGTGGCGGACCGTGAAACGCCGAATACATGCGAGCATAATCCGTGTTGTAGCTTGGTCCACCGTATGCCGGATATCCGGGTGCTCCTGAAAAATAATATCACTCTTAATATTTCTCAAACGAGCATAGAAAACCATCTCAGACGAGCCATTTTTTTAGTGAGAGATGAAAAGAAAGTATTGACGAATTAATCCTAGAAATTCTGGATTCTCGATCTCATTCGCAAGAGAAACATATTCGCAAACTTTGCTCTTATGGAATTTAAGACTCACCAGCCGGAGGATAAGCTGCAGACGAGCCAGGCGCCGGTGGATAGTGCTGCGAGTACGGATCATATGGGCCCGGCGGATACGGACTCGGATAACGTGTGCTAGTGGGGTGGCTAAACGCAGTGGGTATATGCGTAGTCTCATCCCTGCTCGAAGCCGCCGTGGTAGTCACCACCGAGTTCTCCGTACTCTTGGATTCCGTGGAACTGCTCGTCAGCGTTTTGGCAGTAATGCTCGATACTTGAGAATAAGCGGTAGGCACGTTCATCACACCTCTCTCGTCCATAGGCTTCCCTAGGTCCGGCGGAGGCTTCGTCGTGTCTACTGGCAGTCTGCTGCTAGGATTCGCCGTATGTGGTGGCACGCCAGGAAAGTAAGTGCCGTAGGGATTGGATAGCGAGCGAGATCGCGGATCGCTGTAGTCGTAATATCTCGGATATTGCGCATAGGGATATCCCTGCGGAACACTCGGCGGGTCGCCTTGAATCATGTTGTCACGCATACTCGTCGGTTCGGTATTCTTTGGGGAAGTGATGTTATTAGTATTGGTGCACACCGATGTGGCCGATGGCGCAACGACAGACGACGAGTCGGCGATACTTTTAGGTATCTCCGGACCCCTCACAGGCGTAGACGGTATCGGCATGCTCGACGGCAACGGCATACTCGTTGGTACCGGCATACTCGTTGGCACTGGCATACTCGTTGGCATCGGCATGCTCGTTGACACCGGCATGTTCGTTGGTACCGGCATACTCGTTGGCATCGGCATGCTCGTTGGTACCGGCATGCTCGTTGGCACCGGCATGCTCGTTGGCATCGGCATACTCGTTGGCACCGGCATGCTCGTTGGTACCGGCATACTGGACGGTACCGGCATGCTCGATGGCACCGGAATGCTTGATGGTATCGACATACTCGATGGTAATGACATACTCGATGGTATCGACATACTCGATGGCATCGACATGCTCGATGCTATCGATATACTAGATGGTATCGACATACTCGATGGTACTGTTGGCATGTTCGACGGTACTTGCATGCTCGATGGTACCGGCATACTGGACGGTACCGGCATACTGGGTGGTACCGGCATATTAGATGATGCCGACATGCTCGAGGGTACCACTTGTGGCGTCAACAAAGGCGGAATCGGTCCAGGAGTGGTTACGTGCGTCTGCGTGGCGGCCTGTGGTGTCACTTGCGGCGACTCCTCAATGATAATTTCATCGTTGGAGTTTTCTCGTTTCTCTGTCTGGCTGTGGAAAGATCGACCATAGCCCGACAGCGCGGAATCTGGCTTGGATGACTCTTTCTCTGGCGGTGAACACTGCTTGTCAACGGTTGGTGGTAGTTCCGGTTCCGGATCGTGTTGCGTTTGAACGCCCTGTGCCATGGTGTCGGACGAGTAAACCTGAGTGCCTTCCTCGGAAGATTTCGGCAAAGACGTGTCGGTATCCGAATTCGTGGTTCGCGTATGATTAGAGGGACTGTACTCAGTGTTGGAGCTCACTTCGGCCACCACGTCCTCTAATCTAACTTCTTCGACTCGTTGTTCGGTTCTTACTTGACCGTCAGATGAATTGGAATTCTCGCCGAGCGTGGAATGATCCACTGGTTCTTGCTTGACTTTGGGTAGCCTCGACAGAGACACCTGATTCGTTATGTTAACATGATTCATATAAGGTTTAGCAGTCGCTGTAGCGACAGGTTTAGGTCTTTTGGAGATTTCCTTGTCGCCGAACGGCTTATAGCCCAAGCCTGGAGATGGTTTATTCAAAGGACGGCTGCTGATTTGATTACTCGAAGATGATTTTGGTATTATTGAAATAGCCGAGTTGTTTCGCAAAGGGAAGCCAACCTCAGGCTTAGAGTTCCTCTGAATCATTGAGGAAACGCCTGTGAAATACGGAACGTCAAATTTAAAAACAAAACTGACAATCGAACAATATAAAAATAAGGGACAATAAGAGCCGATTCCGGATCTAATTTCCCGATCGTATTTAATACGTACTGTACACAGAGTATAATTATTTTATGTTTCCACCATATAATGAAGCTGTTTTCGGCCAAAATTGATACAATTATTTATTATACTATTATATTAGCTTAGTACAAAAGATTTGTCATTTTTCTATTAAATTCTCATAGAAAGTTTGAGTATTAAAAGAAAAATAGAAACTCATGTTAAATGTCTAAAACAATGCCGAGTCGATATTATTAATTTTAGTCGTGAAACTTATTCCTAAATTGGATAATTTCGTTTTCTATTTTATTTTGTAAACATGAGACACCTTTTTGCGTCAAACTAAAAGCCATTTAAATAGATCTTATTGACGGACAACGCAGGCAACTTTATAAAAATAATTTTATGCATTATAATATAACATATGATGTAACAAAATAATAAAAAGAGACTTACCAGTATATTGTGAGTACATTGTGGGTATATTGTGCACATCAGGAAATAATAATTGTGGTACGTATTGTGGTTGTGATACGTGTGAGAAATAATTGTTTGGAAAAATTGAGCTCCAATGGTTAAAAAAAACTATAACCAATAACAAAGTCATAATAAATAAAATGTATGTTAACGGCATGTTAACGGCATAAAGTTTGTTATAAGAACGAAGAAATTGAATAGGAAGAAATTGAACGAAGAAAAGAACAGGAAAGAGAAAGAGAAAGAGAAAGAGAAAAGAAAGAGAATTGAAAGAGAAAGAGAACATCAGATGAAAAAGCATTTCTTAGATGAGGTTAATAATGGAAAGTAATTTTATGTAACAGCTCCATATTCTTGTTCTGTTGTATGTTGTCTTTCTGACTCCTTATATATATGACTTGAAACATCAAAATGAAAATGCTGTTCATTATTTAAAATCTTATTTTTAAATATATTTTGATTTTAAATTGTAATGATCAGTAATGACAAAAGATTGAATGCTTTTTTTGAGATGTTTGCTAATTTTTCTCTTGTACGTATATCAAACTGTTTTTAATTTATCTCATATAAGAAGCATCCCAATAATAAAATAATTTGTACTTTCGTGTGCAGTATATTATAAATACATGAAAATTTGATACACAGTCGGCTCTTATATCATACTTGATTCTTATATTATTTGATTTTAATCTTATATAAAATTCTTTGCTTGATACTGATGATACTTTCAAAGGACAGAATTAGTAAAATTAATAATCATGAAACTATATTAGCTATATTACCTTTCTTCGGCTCCTCTTCCCGCTTCTGTTGATTCAATTTAAGTGCAGTGCGAATTGCTATAATCTTGCCAGATTCGAGCTGCATGTAAATGCCTTTCGGACTCTTCAGCACCATTACTCGTTGACCCGCCTTTAAAACAATGCTCCCTTTATCCGGAGAGTTGGTCGGAATGACAACGTCTAAAGGTAGCGTCATCTCTTGAGCGCTCATTCCTTGCCTCTGCCACACTTCCGCCGGAATCCATCTACTTCCGGTTACACCTCGTGCACCTAATCCCTCAGCACCTCGTTGTTGCATGGGTCTCACAGATGCGACAGGCTTAGGCGTGGTTCCTCCCTCACCGCGAATTGCTCGGATTTGTAATCCACCTGCTAAAATATTTATCACCATTATTTTAATCGTCTTTAATCATCTCTTCATGAATCATCATTTTCATGAATCAGATTGATAAAATAATATTATAAAATATAAATATAAAAAGTAATAATTTATTATCTTAGCTCACGTTGCTAATGTCAATATCATTTGACACTTTAGGTCTACAGGAATTTTTACTTATAATTATCACAACCGACCTCTCAATTATTTTTTTGATTTTGAAATAAAAATTCTTCACAGAACGTAAGTCATACCTCGCGTAGCTGTGTTTCCTGGAACATAATTATAACTCGGCCTCGAACAATTAGCTGCCATTTTCTCAAGCTCATAGCCACGGCGGGCCAATCGTTTTTCAGCCTGACTGAGCTTTTTATCCTTCCGATCCACGAGCAAGCTTTCGTGATGAAATGGTTGTTTGGTCAGCAACGAAGAATGACGTTCTAATACACAGTGCATAACTTCATCCGAATAGCTGTCCTTAGTCTGCGAGAAGTCCTGCACTTGGCTGTCCTCCTCCCATTCCCACGATAACGTCGTCGCCTCCTTCAACGAAAGATGCGCGTCGGGATTGCACTGATCAACAACACGATCCGCCATACCCTGCTTACTGATTTGTCTATCGTATATCTTCCTTTCTAGGCAGTTGTCGGTGACTAAGCGATAAACGAAACACGGCTTCTGCTGACCGTATCTGTACACTCTGCACACGGCTTGCGTGTCGTGGCACGGGTTCCATGAAGCGTCGAATACAATCGCGCGATTTGCACCCACAAGATTAATACCTAACGAACCGGCTCGTGTTGAAACCAAGAATAAATGAATCTTCGAATTACTATTGAATTCGTTGATCAGTTTTTCTCGTTCTAATGCGCTAGTACTACCATCTAGTCTGTAATAATTCACGTTCTTAATCCAGGCGTCAGTCTGTCCGTCCGGATACTTTAAGCTATTTCGCGCCAGAAAGTCCTCTATGAGATTCAATGTGAATAGCGACTGCGAGAACGCGAGCACGCGATCTCCCAGTCTGATAGCTTCCTCGAGGATGCAGAAGAAAAGTGTCATTTTTCCAGACGCGTCTATTAAACCAGGTACGTAGTTCTTCATCAGCTCTGTCGCCTGCAACAAAAGACAAAAATAAACATTACACAATTACCATTCAAGCATAAAATAATAATATCATTCATTCTTGAAGTCAAATTTAATTAAGATTAAATCGAAATCAATTTGATTAATAATTAAAACCGAATTTACATTTTATTCACTTCATATTTTATTATTTTATATTATTTTAAACCATTTGTAGTATTATTTGCTCTCTTCATATTTAATATTAGAATAATTATGCATTACTTTACAAATAAACAAAGTTTAAACGTTTAAATACTTTTCTCCTAAGAAGTCTTGTTACTAGTACTTAACACATTCGTAAGCTAATATATCGATAAGAAAATTTCAGATATTTGTTTAAGAAAATCCCAGCAAAATATTAACATACCCAATCGTATGGAATTCCAGGGTCCTCTTTGCTACAAGGAGAGCTCTTGCAGTCTTTCTCCTCGTCCTTCGTGAGGATTTCATCGTCAGATTTCTCCTCCTTATCCTTCTCTAATTGCTCTTCTTTCTCCCTCTCATCCTCCTTCGACAATTCGATCTGATTCAAGCGAGGACTGTGCGCCGAGTTGATCGCCTGCACGGATCTGGGTATTGGAGTCGCCGAAGTCTGCCGATTCGGTTCCGCGTTGTAACCAGGCGTGCCGGTGAGATTGCTCTGATGCATCGGTTGACTCTGCACACCAATGCTGGATGTCATGTCTTTGTTGCTCTTTTCGCACGGCGCGACACTCGGGGGATGAGGGCCGGCTTGTTGCGACCCCTTGGAATCTTCCGGCCGTTGATTCATGTCTGAGCCATGACTTGCGTAGTCAGTGTACGGCTGATTCGGATAATTTTGCGGCGGGAAATAGTTGTTTTGATAACGATTCATGCCAGGATTCATGCCAGGATTCATCTGATCGCGATAATACGAGTCGTTGCACTGCTGATCCGACCTAAACGACTGAGGCTGATAATTGCGCTGCCAATATGGATCATCTGTGCTCTTCATTTGGCCCACCGCCGGGTTCTGATGCGACGATCCGTCGGACGAATAATTCGTCATTACAGGGTTCTGCGTTTGAGGTTGACCAGCGGTGTAATTGCTGCCAGTACTGCTGGTGTTGCTCGCGCCTGGACGATCGCCCGAGAATTCATTCGTCGCCGGAGTGTAGCTCTGCGTTTGCTGCGACACTGCAGTGTCCTGTCTGGAATATAGCTGATCGTTCTGACTTAATGACGAGTTCGCTTGTTGCTGACTCGACGGATACGTCATCGGTTGATTCTGGGCCACCTGCGTTTGCTGCGTGGTGCCGTAACGATGAGACTGCGGAGTTGGCGGCATCGTGCCTGTTCCTGGGTGATTCGACGAGTAGTTCGGATTAGACGGTGGTGCTGTCTGACTCTGTTGACTTTGCTGAGGATACGGTGATCCCTGATTGGAAGCTGCCGGTGTTGGCACTATATGATGACCGTAGTTGTGAACCGCATTCTGCGAATTCGACGGCGGAGCCTGCTGATCCGCAGGATATCTGTGCGTTTGATTCTGTGCGTTAACGTTCTGCGCAGGTTGATTGGCCGGATAATTGGGCTGATTCTGCGCTACATTCATCTGACCCTGCGGTGCCGGAGGATAGCCACGCATAGGACCCTGTGGCATAGGAGTCTGACTCGACTGACTCGGCTGCATATAACCGTGTGACGGAGTCTGCGGCATCGAAGATGACTGCTGATTGAACGCGTGCGGAGTCTGTGGTGTGGTTGGATTCACCTGCGCCGGATAACCGTGCGACTGACCCTGAAGAGATACGCCTTGTGGTTGCTGACCGGTATACGACGAGTGCGGTTGATTCTGCAAGCCCAAATTCTGGTTCTGCTGGTTCGGCGAGAAGCCACGATTTTGACTCGGTGACGGGTTCTGTCCCTGTTGCTGCTGTGGCGGCGGTGGTGGCATGTAACCGGTGGCCTGAGACTGCGTCGCCGGAGGTTGACCCTGCTGAGGTGCTGGATATCCTGCCATCGTCGAATTCTGCAACGATTGAGCGTCGTTGCGCGGATATATCGGATTCGGCTGAGGTGTCGGCGTCGGGGTGTAATTTTGACTCTGATTCGCACCATATGATGAATAATCTTGCATCGGCATATTCGTCGACTGGCTCGGCATCTGTGACTGGAAAGAGGGCTGATTGGGGACTTGAGGATAATTGCTAGGCCCTTGATTCAAATTCGGCGTATAGTTACGCTGCTGGTCTTGATAAGGATAGCCTTGCCGCGAAAACATCCCAGACTCGTAATTACTGCCCTGATTCTGATCAGACCTGAAGTCCGAGCCAGTCGACGTGCCGGTGTATCTCTGAGGATGATTCGCAGACTGCTCGTTCGACTGCATGTAGTTCTGCGACTGATTGTTGTAACTCTGCGATGTGTTGTAGCCCGAGGTCTGAGCGTAAGACTGAAACGGTTGATTACCGTATCTCTGTTGTCCCTGATTATTGTAGAATTCCCCGTGATTACCGTATTCCCCATGATTACTGTCGTTTCTATAGTACGTATTCTGGTCGTTCGGACGATAGTTCTGGTAACCGTGAGAAGGATAAGAGCCCTGCGATATGGAGTTGGAGTATCCAGAACTGGGAACTGGCATTGGATAGTTGGTATAATTATTCTGTTTTAAAGTGCCATGAGTGTTCTCCGGCTCGACGTTGTCGGTGCTGGACGACGAAGAAGCGTTCGGTTGCACGCTAGCCGCAGGCTTGTTCTTTATCGTCGTGCTGGTCTTCTTGTTCTTCTTCGCCTCTCCCTTACCCTGACGTGCCTTGGACCTTTTACCACCCGCAGTGGCTTTTTCCCCAATTGTCTCTTCCAGGTCTAAGTCATCCTCCTCGTTTGCCTGCCGCTTACGGAGGAAATGATACAAAATATCCGGATGGTTCCAGATTTTGCAGCACACGGCAAAGGCCTTGAGCGGGTTCGGTACGGCGCGTGTCTTCACCACTTGATTCATGAACGTATCGTAGAGCTTCCGTTGATGGGACGTCATACGAACGAGAAGAATGTATTCTTCTTTGCGCGGCAAAGATATTTGCAGCACCGAATGCGATCTTCTCTGCACAAAACCCTCCAGCAGAGCGTGTAAAACATGAGCGCGATATCTCATCAAGCGTATGTCCTGTGGCGTGGAGTCGATACACTGACCGTTCTGAATCGGTCGCTCAAACATGTTGCAGAATTCGCTCTTGGTTCCTAGGTAATTGGGTCTCACAAAATCCACCATACACCAATATTCTAACAGATTATTCTGCAGAGGATAACCGGTTAAAACGATCCTACGCTTCGTCCGCATCTGCTTCAGCGCCATGCTGATACTAGCGTGAGAGTTTTTGATTCTGTGACCTTCGTCGCAGATTACCAAATCCGGTCCGGGACTCACGAGAGCTGTGTGCATATCGTCGAGCAAGCCCTTGTTTTTGTCCTCCTCTTCCACATCGACGGTGTCTTTGAAAGGTTGACCGCGCTTACGCTTCGCCTTATTCGGCTTCTTCAAAGATAATTGTCTATACAGTTCATAACCTATTAACAACACACCGCCTGACGCTTGCCAATCTTGTATCACTTTTGCCCTCGCTGTCATGGTCTTATGCGAATCGTTCAGAATGTGCAAACGGAAATGTCTCGGCCGCATGTCCATGCCAATGGGAGCGTCCACGCAAAATGGTGTCTTCACTTTCTCCACTACCTCCTTCTTCTCTTCCGTCATCTCTTCCTTTATCATCGCCGTTGATGTACCCTCCTCTTTCTTGATCGTCTCTTCCGGTTCTTTCTTCACATTCACTTCCGTGCTTGGAACCGATGGCCCATGTATGTTCTCCTTCTTTGGCTCTTGTCCTAGGTGTTCCTGACTATTAGACTGGTTACCATAATTCGCGAAGGTGCCAGTGGAGACATTGTTATAGTTCGAATACATCGGCCCAGGATGGTGATGAGCGCCCATGCTTGGGTACATCACCGCGACGGGGTTTCGATTCTCCATGTCGGGATATATAGGAGCCTGCGGTCGACTTTCCATAACCCCGGGGTACATAACACCAGCAGTTTGACTTTCCATACCGTACTTCGGCATAGGTGCCGCTATGTTAGGTCCGGGCGGTATACCATGACAGTTGACATCTACCGGCTTCATCGGATCAGGAGGGAAAGGATTGGGGAGCGGATTAGGAGCTGCATTATACAACGAACTCTGCGGTATTTCGCCCTGATGATAGGAACTCGGCGGCATGTGCGTGTGCGGCTCCGCCATGCTCTTGTTCATCATAACAGTGGCGGCGTCCGGCATCCCGTAACCTGGCATCATGCCGCGCGGCTCATAGCCATGATGCGAGTACGGATTTTCCGTCGGCATAACGTTTATCGGTTGTTGCTGCGGCACTGTGGTTGGTTCCTGATTAAAACGGTGCGCAGATTCTGTGCTAATCGGTCGTGACATGTTGGATAGATCGCTCTGATTGCCGCATTGTTCTTCCTTCACTTCGTGCTTCACATCCATCCCAGGCTCCATCTTCACATTTGTCGCTTTAGATTGCTTCTCGGCGGTAGTAGCAGGTTCTTCGTACGGCAGCCACATGTTGAACTCCGCTAGCCAGTTCTGAAGAGTGTTGATGGGCATAATACAGAGCACGGTCTTGGCGGTAGTACATCGAAAAAAAACGTCGCAGAAGCTGGCGACCTGTAGGGTCTTGCCCAGACCCATACTATGGGCTAAGATGCAGCCGAAGCCGGAACTAGACTTATATCGTTCTATGCTCTCAACAATGTTGTCGAAGAGGAAGCGAATACCACCAATCTGATGCGGTTTGATGATGCGAGCCACCTGCGGCGCCAGAAGCACATCTGGCTCAGTTTCAGGGTGACCCACATTGACCAGCACCCTGCCGTGCTCGTCTGGAATGTTATAGCGGTCATTGGTGTGCATACCAGAATTAGATGGATCATCCTCGTTGTCGGTTTCCTCTTCGCCACTGGGATCACTTAGAACTATACAATCGTCGTCCGAACTCTCGCTCGAACTAGATATCGTTACCACATCCTTGCCCTTAGGTGGCTTTTGGTACTTGGGCCCGCCAGGCATTTTTCGTACAGCATGCATCTGTTTCTCGCGCAACGTCTCCTCAGTCTCTATATCCGACATCTCGGAATCGGAATAGTACTCTGTACGGTCCATCGGCTCCTTCTTAGGCACCACTGGCGATATACTCACAGACGGTGTCATCATGCGAATCCTTTGTTGCAACATATTGGGGGCGCCAGAGCGACTTGGCACTCGCGAAATGGAAGTTTGCGTGCCCTGATAGCCACCTCTGCCTTTCTGCCAACGCATCCCATCCACCGATCTTCTCTGCAATTGTCCAGATTGCATGCTGCCAACTTGAGCGGCCTGCGATGCGCCCGCGCCAGAATTCACCTTCAGCAACACGGTGTTCGGCAGGCGAACCTGCGTGGACGATGCCGACGACGAGGAAGTGGACTGCGAAAGCGTGGTAGTACCAACTTGATTCTGCTTGCCATGTAAAAGACTGATGACGCGCGTCTGCGATCTGTTATTCTGACGGTTGATCGCTATTTGACGTTGTACCTCGCGGATAATTCTCTGCTGCTCCTGCACTCGTCTGAGACGTTCCATCTCTTGTCGCTGAGCGGACAACGTAGCCTCGTCCAACTGCGTCTCGTCCATCACCTCACGAATGTTCCGTCGCATGTTGGCTAATTTCTTCTCACTCTTCAGCTCGCATTCCGACGTGGACCCCTCGGTACTGTCGTCTTTCTTCGTCTTTTTCTTCGCCTGGTCGGAAAGTTCCGAATCAGCCTGTCTCTTACCATCGCCATCCTCTCCTCCAGAGTGACCCTCTTCCTTGTCGTTCTCGTTGTCCATGCTCTCCTCATCTTCTGAATCTTTTGATATTGGTTTCCCTAGTAGGTCGGCTTCAGACACCTCTTGACCTTCTATAGGTGCTCCTTTTGATAATACAAAAATTAAATTATTAAAATACAGTGAGTATAATGAAGATCCTTATACTGTTCGTGTCAAAATAAAAACTATTAGATACCTCAAACTATTATAACAAAAGAAGATTATTAGAGTACTTAAAACTTGCAGCAATTTTTTATAAATAATATCATGCATGTGGAAGATTTTCTAATAATAATATTGTTATAATACTTCTTTGGAATTTTCAATTATTTTGAATTCAATTGTTACATACAAATTTACATCAATTAATGTAACTAAGCCAATCTAATACTAAGGCAGATGAGATAGAACTTGAATGAGATTAAACTAAAGCAAAAATCTGTCTTATTGATCTAATATTCTAATATTTAGGTACAAATTACACAACACACAAATTATTAAACGCAAGTTTGTCATCAAAGACAATTCGATGTGAAATTCTATCTTTTGTATTATTTTGCATGAAATTCAATATACTCTACAAAATACTACCTGTTAATCACTTTCTGGCATTTACCTTCTAGTGGCAATGTGTCTAAAATATTAACTGGCTCCTCGTCATCCTCTTCCTGAGACGGATGATGTTGCTGCCTCTCTGACTCTACTCTCACACCGATCTGTGAGTCGATCGTTTCATCGAGATCCATGTCGTCGCCCGAGCCCTCGGAGCGTATCTCTTCGATCTCCTCTGATTGCAGAGCGTCGAGCTTCTTCTCGTGTTCTCCGTCCGTCGTCTCGCCGCTCGACTCGTCCGAGCTCTCATCATTAGTCGCCTGCGGTTCCGCGTTCATGTTCGCACTGCTCGTAGTCTCACTCGTCATGATCGTCTCGCCGGGCTTAGGGCCACCGCGAGGTGTCACGCGTTCAATTGTGACGTCTCCGATGCGTGTCAGAAAGCTGTCCAGACTATTAGACATGGTGTGCACCGTCCATTAAGTCACGACCGCGTTTACCTTATCGATATCTTACAGTATATCATGGAATGTCTCGACACTTTTTAAACACAACACTAACAATCTACTCGCTTAGCACTTACATTGCTTAATTGTCATTCTATATTCCTCTCCTGCAATAACACGTGTGTTCTTTGTATTCGTTATTCCGTCAAATACGTTAGTCGGAATTCATTCATTATTTGTCGACAAGGGGAAAAAAGAAACGCGAGACGGCATTAAGTCAATATAAAGCGTGTAAAGTCCTTACAAATATGTAAAAATGGGAAATGCTAATACCGCCAGTACCTGAACAAAAGAATGGATTTTCTCTAAAATAATGCAGGATATGTTCTAACTCTCTTGAATAAACTAAGCTTCATGCAGTGTTATTGGTGTAAAAACAAGTCTACCAATAATTGGAACTGATATATGAAAACAGTTGGATAATATAATCAAAAGGTAATAGTAAACTTTCTCTCTCGTGTGTCGACCATAGAGAATAATAAAAAAATCCTTGGCAATATATGCAACAGCTTCCTCCCAATATGTACTCATTTATATTTATAAGCAGTATGTAACATATTAACAAACTATTTTGAACTATTTCAACTCATAATGTACTAAATGAAATATTCATCAGTTCAAAGATATACAGTAAGAAATCTGTTTATCTAATCATCCATATTCTATTTTATCTAGCTTATCCTTCAAGAAATATTTCACCTATCAGTGCTATTATATCAAACTAAAATGGTCTCAGCAGAAAGAAGCAAGATTTATAATCTGTTTTTCTCTCTCTTTTTCAATATATTTTCATATGTAAAAGAAATACTTTACTAACTCATAAGATTTCCTCATATGTGTAAGAAAAAACCAAACGCCTGTTGATAGCACTTGTATCAAACGTTAGAACATTCAGGAGGGAACACAAAGAAGATTTACCAGGCAAAACTCTCACGAATCTTACCTGCAAACTTACACACACACTCTCTCTCTTTCTCTCTCTCTTTCTCTTTCTCTGTATAAAAATACAATACAGAATACACACTCACATCTGCCTCCTGCCAATGACTCGACTGTCCTGTTGAACGACAGAGATCAGCCCAAATGCAGTCTAGCCTCATACACGTAAATCGAGTAACCAGGACGTCCCTCTGAGAGAGGCTGGGTGCACATGTTGTCCAGAATGATCCACGACGGCGATGGTAGCTGTTAAACGTGAAACACAATGTCACGCGAAGGAGGATATGAGCACCAGGATACGATAGGTAGGCCAGAATGTTTGTTTACACACGGCGAGACCGACACACCATCACAACTGTCTCCTTCTTTCTTTCTTTCTCTCACTTACTCTTCCTTTTTCCTTTCCTTTTTATTCCTCTTACAAATACCGTCGTTGTGGACGACGACGCGTCCCGGCGTTCTCTCCTCTCGCTCACGATCACGCGCGCGCGACGGACGCCATGGCCGGACGGTCTGGACTTTTACGTCTGACTTTGGTGATCACCGTGACGAACGACGTCGCGGTGCCGTTCCTCACATCCGGCGAGCTGCTGCACGACAGCTCGGCCGGATTGTTTCTGCCATGCCAAGTAGCACGAGGAGGAGTCCCTGTCCGCGCTATGTACCGTTCAGCACCGCGTCTCTACGCTCCGCTCCGCACCGCACCGCACCGTATCGCACCGCACTGCACCGCGACGCACCGCACCGCACCGCACCGCAGTTCAACCCCGCACGCACCACTTAGGTTAATCAACTGTCGGATAATACTCCTGATGGTCGCGCGCGCACGCACTTCCGATCCTTGGTACACCTACTCACGCGAGCTCGCCAGCGCGCGAAGCGTCGCTGGTCGTCGCGGCTCCCCGCGGCATTTTTTTTCTCACGCGCTCTTGCCCGACAGCGTATTCCGCTCGGCGAACGCCATCTTGGCTGATCTTGACCGCGCCACCGTCGCTTTCGCTGCCGTCAGCGCCATCAAGAGCGCAGAGCCGACGAATCACGTCTGCGGCTGTTGGCGGAAGTGGCTGGTTCACCAGGGTGTGCGCGCTATGCGCGGCCATCTGGCCGTGATGTAAGAAGTCTGCGGTCAGGGGGTCAATCGTGAATCGTTTCCTGTGGCGTGAACACGCGAGAATTTAATATTTTTTAACGTGAAAACATTTAGGTTGCATTCCAAAACGTCCTCTCCGAGGAAAATTTTTCTTTTAAATCTATAGTGTATGTAACGTGAAATATAAATTTAAGAATAAAATTTTCCTCGAAAAAGATGTTTTGGAATGCAACTTTAGAAATGTTAACTTTTCACGAATTCATACTACAGGAAGATTGATGATTACTTCTTATAGGACAAAAATTTGTATCTTTTTTTTTCAAACAAATTATCGCGCTCCTCGGAGTGAAAAAACTTTTCAAAGAGTTACTGGAAATTATTGTCAGATTAATATTTTTAAGGAATAAATAAAAATATTTTCTTATATTCAATAAAACTAATATTTATTATAGAACAACTCAGTAAAATATCTTGTTTAAAAGTTGGTTTGAGGAATTAGGAAGGAAAGTTGAAGAAAAGAAAGAGATAATATAGAATAATGAATTAGATGAAGATAAAGATAGTATTTTAAGGTTGCATTCCAAAACGTTCTTTTTGAGGAAAATTTTACTCAATAGCTATAGTTCACGTTACATATACTATAGAGAATAGAGTAAAATTTCTTCAAAAAGGACGTTTTGGAATGCGACCTAAGGAAAGTATGGAAGGAGAGAGATAGGAAACTAAGAGAAAGAAGTCTATAGAATTGTAAGAATTGTAGAAATTATAAAAATGTTAAACGTAGAAAGACAAAAATGTAAAATGGCGAAAAGGTAAAAATATAAAAATGGTAAAATGATAAAGTATAATAAGGATTAGATAATATATATGTGATTGCAATATAAATCAGATAGGATTATAGAATAAAGGCTGTGAATAGGTGAAGAATAGGAGAAAGTGTAGATAAAGAGACGTAGAAAATAGGATATAGATAAGATATGGATGATAAGTGTAGGTCAGATAAGTTTTTTTTTTTGTGAATGTGAACCAAGTCCCCTTCTTGGCTGTAGCTGAAGAAAATAAAACTATACAGTAGAATATCTTGAAGCTGTTTATGACAATAGATTATAATATATATATATTATGTGTGTGTGTGTGTGTGTGTGTGTGTGTGTGTGTGTGCGTGCGTGCGTGCGTGCGTGCGTGCGTGCGTGCGTGCGTGCGTGCGTGTGCGCGCGCGCGCGCAAAATTTGTACAGTATATAATATGCTACAAATATATTTACTTAGAGATAAACATTGGAGATATATGTTAGTATATACTGAGTAATATATCAAAATACATATTGACTTGATACATTAATCTTGAATTGTGGGTTTGTTTTTTATTGCTGAACTGTGATTGCATTTCTCTACAGTTCCTTTTCATCTTTCTTTCACTGAGTTTTATCAAGAGATCTGTTTTCTGTACACTGCTGAAGTAGTGTACACTTTTAGAACTTAAAAAGAGACAGATATACATAAAGTTTGATATACATAAAGTTTGATGGAAGAAAGATGAAAGAGAACTAGTGCAGCCAGTTCAGTAATAGAAAACAGACTCTATGTATCTGCCTCTTTTTAAGTTCTGAAAGTACACACTAGTTCAGCAATAGAAACAGATTCAATGATCTCCAGTGATCCAGCGGTCTTCCAGATTTTCGATTAATCACAAAGTTAAAATCACCCAGAAAATCTCAAATACATAGTATGCTTCTGTTTTTCTGAGTGTCAAATAAATATATATATCTTGTGCAAACGTTAATGTCAATGCAAATAAACCACATTTCTGAACAAAATACTATGACACTTTTTATACAAGATATATAGTTTAAGAAACATATTATCTTTTCCTAAATTAATATAGTAAAAATAACTGTTTAATAAATGATATTTATAATGAAAACGATTATACTTTATAATCATAATGATCATGATAAAATTTCAGTTTCATCACATTCCTAATATATATATATATAATATATATATATATATATATATATATATATATATATATATATATATACTACTAGACTAAATGTACAATCATATAATTATAATTATTATATTATTATAAAATTTTAATTATTTCTCTCAAATTAAAGTCAATCTGAGATTTTTTTATATTACTAATTATTAAATTTACTGTTTAAAACTGTAAATTACTGTTAATTACTGTCAATATTAGATAGCAACCTTTAGCATTATATCAAAGAATATATTTTGTCCACAAAGCAATATACGCAAAACTATTATAGCAATATAAGCAATATAAGGAATTTTTGAAAAATCAGATTAAAGTTAATATATATGATTTTTTGTGTATATTGTTATGTAGATGTACAGAAATCTTATTTTTTATATCTTATTAGACAGTATAATTGATAGTTTCTCAATTAGCACTCTCACAAGCATCAATCCAATCATTGTATACATCTAAAGGTTCTGAGAGCAGGTTCACCGTTGTCTGAAAGTCCTCCAAACATACTCTACATGTTATCTTGGCTGTGTTTCTCGACTTGTCCCTGTATTATAGGTAAAAAAGTAGAATTTAAATTTTTTAAGTTTCTGTATTTGTTAAGTTGACATAAGATAGTAGAATTTATTAAAATTAACATGATTGACAAAGATTGTATTCAGAAAACATGATTAAATAAGTGTTCAATGTCACTAGAATATTCTTTTAGATATATCATGGATCCAAGATCTAATCTTCTCAATATATTAGAAGCAATAATCACTCAATAGTTGTATTAGGCTTTCTGGACACATTCAAAATTTGCATTCTTATCCCAAATACTTGACATGTCAAACACTTGTTTCAATCATATTAACATTGATGAAATGCGACAAGTATAATATTTCGTTATCCAAATGAAAGCACGAATTTTCAACATACTTACATTTTAACGTCACATGACTTTTCATGATTACAAAATGGACAATTGAATTGTGTGTCCAGTGGTTGAATAGCCTTCCTTTTAATAGGTGGTTTTCGTTTGCTCTTGCGTCGACCCATCTCGTCGTGAACGACAAAAAAGTACGTGTACTTCACTCAGTATTCTTCTTCTTTCTATGTAAACACCTCTACTAATCTCTATTAAGCTATATCGTATTGTATTTCTACTTATGTACGATAAAAGTAGACATGTTTAACCTGTTGAAAATACATTCTATTTTAGTTTCTACATAAAATTTAATATTTTTGTTTCTAAATAAACGCGATTGAGGGTATTTCTCATCAAATCTATTGAAACTCTCACCACGACTATTGTTAAGCCAATCAAGCGACAAATTATGTAAAACAACAAATCAGTCCGATTGCAATTGCTTTTGTGCCTGTTTGGGTTGGGTTAGGTTAGGTTGTTTTACGCTTTAGGTTGCGCTTTTTATTTTCATGAATTTTAGATAAGAGAAACAAAATTATACATTCCAGTGAACTCTATAATATACTAGTAGGTAACATATATTTACAAACAGCCAAGCCAAAGTAAATATTGTGCTCTCTGTCTCTTTAACATGTTACATTCTTTTATATATTACGCGCTTATCGCCCTAACCTCTTTATAAGCTAATAGTCCAATAATAAATTTTAAATAAATCGTAGTCAATAAAATTTTAAAAAGTTCTATGTATTGTTTTTAATCATATCTTAATTAATGTATCGATTAGTATCGAGATACTTATAACCCGATATTTTCTGTTTTGGAATTACGCGCGATAGAGATGACAATCCCCCTTTAACAGCTTTCTCTAGCAACTCAAGGTTATTCGATAGAACCGCGTTTTAAACTCAAATTGTCAACTTGTTGCAAAGTTCATTGGGTAAACTTACAAATTCGTTTCTTGCACAAATTTATCTCAAATATGTTGTAATCAATCTCTTTAAAAATTGAATTCTCGAGATTCGAATTTGAATCTCTCCGAAAACTTGTAATTTTCCGTAAGAGTAAAAAGAAATGACTAATATATTGAGAGAGATTACGCATTGTTTCTTACAGAGTAGCAAGCATTTCCACATTTTACCTGCTAAATTAAAAAATAAATATTCAAGATTTATTAATATACGTTTTTGTATTTTATTTAGATATAAAAAAAATATGCACCAATAAATCTTGAATGCTATTTGAGAGCTATTTAGTTTAAATTATAAAGAGATGGGTGAATAACAAGTTCTATTGTAATTTGATGCCTTTTTTGTTCATCGCTACTGTAAGTTTTTTATTGGTGTCTTGTAAAAATTAATCATGAAAATATTTTATTCAATAACGTTTGACTATAGTCCATATCTTTCAGAAATTATCTCGTGATGTCTGAAAAACACATTGAAACTATCCCAGACTGCCGTTTGTCGACTTGGCATCCAGAGATGGTATTAGTGTCAAAATCACCCATCACATTGCAAGGCTTTTTAATTATTCCAAATTTGCCCTCTCCTACATGGAGTCGCTTACAATTCAGAGTAAAATTACAACTGATTGCGCCAAATTATCCATTACTTCAAAATGCACAAATTAATTTTGGCACAACAATAGCTTTGTTACGTAATGGAAAATTTAATAAAGAAATAAAGAAATTAATGAGTACTGATGTAAGAGTACCATTATTTCTAACACAATTACAATCACTCATTGTAAGTAAATAGATAGATAATTATTTTAATAATTCTTTTATATATAATGATGATCATATTATGATTGTTATATTTATAAATAGGGTGAACATTTACATAATAAACATAATAAACATAATAAAAGTCATATGAACTATTTATCTTTAAGTAATTTTATGGAAGACTTGAAAGCAGTTCTTTTGAATCCATCTGTAAGTATATTTGTAGAATGTATCTTCATAAATCTTTAAATCAATTAGATATTATTGAAGATAAAATATTTGTGTTGTGTTAAAGGATGTACAAGTATCATGCGATGATAGACTAAAAACTATTAAATTATCTTTAAATGACATATCTCTTACATTGGAGAGAGATGAAAATACTGAAGTTCCTTGGAAAATCATATCTTCTGATTTTCCTAAAATACCAGCCTTTGAAAGTTTTGAAAAAAATATAAATAAGTTGAATGTTGCAATAACAACGTTTAAGTGGCAAGTAGAATTGTTGGAGAAAGCATGGGAGCAACTGAAAGAAATTGATGAGTAAGTACTTGGGTTGCTAATGTTTACAATATTTAGAAGACAAAACTAATATTTGAAGAAGATTTTTATAAGGAATTTATGAAAATATTTTCAATATTTATTAATAAAATTGTTGAACTGTGAAAAACTTGCACTTAAATATTTTATCATAAAGCATCTTTTTGCCAGGAACTGCTGGGTGATTGATCCATTGGAGCCAAATAAGAGCCACATGCACAGACGTATTCACTTGTCACAATCCATATCTGTGACTATTATAATAAATCCACTAAAACCTACTGCTTTGCCAGAAATTAAATTCTTAGGCAGTGACAGTGAGGTGAAGAAACAAACAGACTATGTTTCCAATAATATTTTTGTAAGTTTCGCAATTATATGCAATATAAAATGCAATATAAAATGTAATAATTATCACAATTTACTTATGCATAATTAAAAGTTTACAATGTTATTTTGTAGAACTGGGATCCACGTTGTAGCATTTTAGAAAATCTAAGGATGTTGTTAAATATGTATGACTTCCCTGAGCAGCAGGAGAGTTTGGAAGACAACAACGCTATTGTTGGCAATCGAGGTTGCGCTATATGTTTTTGTGAAAAATTAGATGCCAATAATGAATTGCCAGATAAGATATGTGATAACAACAAATGCATGAAACATTACCACTCGGCATGTTTATCATTCGTACGTAATCGTAACATATATAAAGTAATTTGCTTATTATAGAATACATCTCAAAATAATACGATACGATAGAAACGATAGAAATTTAAAGTTAATATAAATTAATATAGTCTAAATATTTTTTGGGATAACATACATATGAGTAAATAGAATGCACTTATACTTGCTAATTATTATCAAATTAAATATTTGTCGATATTAAAGATAATGATCTTTTTCATAGTGGTTACAGATGAATGGCGAGAACCAAATTGTATTTGGTCACATCTATGGCACCTGTCCACATTGCAATAAGAAAATATCATGTTCTATTAAATAACTTAAACTTCTTCCAATTTATCAGTTTATACTTTATTCAAATATATGTATGTGAGTATAATTCATTTCTTGGACCCATTTTTTCATAGATTGATTAAACTCTGAAGTTCCACATATTAAGATCAATGTCGTCCTTGTATCATTATATTGAAGATAATCAGCAACTAGTAGTTTGCTCAAACGACCGACTTTTATATGGAGACCATGAGGACCGACTGTTTCGTCTAAAAGAGAATTATTCAAAAAAATTTATTTTGCAACAATCTTGTAATTGAAATACTAACATTATGACTTTAATCGTTTAAGTGACCAATAAATTATTAACATTTCCATTCATTTGTAAGAATAAAATATTATAGGAATTAAAAATAAAGAAGGGCTAATAGGAGTTCAAGTACAGTAATTTTAGTGCTATAAAACCTAAGGAAATAGGTAAGAGTTCCCTATGTTGGGAAACCAAGTAATTTATTGAACATTAAAAATAAAACATCAAACGTTTCAGTCCATCCATGGACCGTCTTCAGTGTTACATATAATTTTAAATAATAAAGTACCAAAAGTTTAACAAGACCTTAAGATATATTTTATTCGTAACCGAGACTGAGAGAAAAAAATTAAGACAAAAATTATGGAAAATGATGTTAAATCCTATTTTTGTCGAAACATGCTTTCAACGTCCATAACAATGAAGTTATTTGCAGAAGCACTTAGTAGGGTGCGGCGGTCATATTGTCTAACCAAACAAATAAAATTTGCGTAAAATTTAAACTAAAAGATAAAGCCGAATAACCGTTAGTAAGTTATCTTGGACATAGTGTAGTCAAACTTCAAGGCAAGAATGATTACCGTCGATAATATCGTTCTTGCCTTAAGGTTTGGTCCCTACAGTTTGGCCGAATAACCGTTAGCAAGTTACCTTGGACATAGTGTATGATTTGTTACGAACGTTGAAGGCATGTTTCGATAAAGATAGGATTTAACACAGTTTTCCATAATTTTTGTCTTAATTCTTTCCTCCCAGTCTTGGTTACGAATAATCTTCAGGTCTTGTTAAATTCTTAATATTTCATTATTTAAAATTACTTGTAACATTGAAGAGGGTCCACGGATAAACCGTTTGACGTTTTATTTTTAATGTTCAATAAATTACTTGGTTTCCCAACATAGAGAACTTTCATCTATTTCCTTAGGTTTTATAGTGATAAAATTACGGTATTAAAATTACTGTGCCTGAACACCTATTAGCCCTTCTTTGTGTTTTTTTATTTATATTTTTGGAGTTTTGTTTTTTAATAATTAAAGGAATTCATAGCTGCAAGTAAAATTTTTTTTAAATAGTATACCATTTAACTGAGACAGTTGTAATGTGCATTTAAAATTCCAATAATCTGTTAGGTATCTCAGTTCTTTCTTCAGAGGAACATGAGCAACAGATTGAAATCCAGCAACAAGATGTATTTTTGTTAATTCTGCCTCATTATCAATTATTGTTTTCGCTATAGGATAAAGTGCAGCTATTCCAGAGCCAATACTGAACATGATGATCTGTTGAAAACTATTGATGCATAAAATTGTGTGAAAATCAATTTTTACTTATACACACATATGTACTGTACATACCTGTTGCTTTCATATTTAAAGTCCCCATATGGGCCTCTAACATCAATTGAGCTACCCAGTGGTGCATTTTTTAAGCGTGTACTAAATTCACCCTGTTTATACACTTTTACTAAGAGAACTAAACTTTTTCTGGACCAGATAATTGGTGTATATGGTCGAGACATACACCAGAAATGTAGCATGATATATTGGCCAGGTGTGATATACAAATTCATACTACTTTGTATATTACTCTCTATATTGTATGTAAAAATAATATGCATTAGATATATTGTTCTTAATCACAGTATATCTTAAATAGATATTTTTACACTTCAATAATGAAATTATATAATAAAATTTTTATAATTTTGTAAAAAAGTTTAATATAGCAACATTACCTTGATATTCTAAGTAAACTAAAATATAGTCTTCTGAAGTTTCAGTTATATTCGCAATAACAAATGTTTTATATAATAGGAGGGATAATAAATTACTATTTATTTTAACTTTTACATCTTGTGCCTTTCTATTTTCCCACTCGCCTAATAATTTTTTGTGAACATCAAAAATGCATGGTACACAACCATTACCACAACAATCTTGTTCCAATGGTGTCTTAGGTCTGTCATCATCACTGTCATTGTTGTAATGATCGTTGTTGTAATTGTGTAGATTCATTTGAAACAAGTTTAAACTCTTATCATCTCTTATCATTTAATAGAATCTTTCTTCTACAAAATCGAGCATTTCAGTTTTAATTTCGATACTTTCGTATCGAACACATCATATCTAAATGTTTACGTATGATAACTTGAAACTGTGTTCAACAATTGTCTTCAACAACACTAAAAGTATTTAAATAATTTAAAAGTATGTAAATAGTCAAACAAAATTAAAATATAGATAAATAATGAGTTACATATTAACAAATTAACCTAAAAAAAATCTCGGATGATTTTGTCAATTAATCGTTAATCAATCATAATAAACGAATATCTAGACATGATTCATTCAGTTGTCTCTGGTTATTTTACTTGGATTCAGACCTTTCTTTACAGTCCTTTCACCAAGGTACCAAAAGGTACATTTCTCAAAAAATCACAAGTCCGAACGTGTTCAACCCACAGACTCCTATATATTGGTTTATGTTGCGTTCAGGAACGTCACTCGAGTACTCTCCCTATCTTTTTACCTCGGTTAGGCGACAGTTTCCCGAAAAGTGAAGGAAATAATGTTGGTATCAAAGAAAATCTCTACACAATATAATTTAAAGATTTATTCTTTCTAACTGCACTGCTGAACTGGTGCAATAAATTGAAGTGAGATAAGTATACGTTTTCTTACTCTAACTTTTTACATTAGTTCAGCAGTGTGCAGTTACAAAGAACAGATCTTTAACTTATATTGTGTAGAGATTTTCCTTGGTACCAACATTATCCCCTCCATTTTTCGGAAAACTGTCGCCTAACCTTTACCTCACTCTTGTATTTCGCTCACTCCACGGCTATCGTCTAGTAGTGTGCACACAGTGGCTTGGTTTACATCGGGTGGGACCCGATTGATCACGATACAATTGGACACAGATTGTAATGATTGGTTCAACCTAGTAATTCACTAGATAATTCTTTTCATCGGTTAGTTGTGTCCAATCGTACCGTGGTCAATTGGGACGCTCCCGTTTACATCGTGCATTTGATACGCGTACTAAATAGTAACTTTCTATTAGATAATCTTAATATCGACAATGCATATCAACGGCGACGTATTCAATCAATACAATACGTTTTGTTGATGAGTTATTACAGCTTAATATACCGTTGTTTATATGTATCGTCGATATTAAGATTATCTAATAGAAAGTTACTATTTAATACGCGTATCAAGTGCATGATGTAAACCAAGCCAGTGTGTGTTTTTGAACGCAGTCTTATGCAGGATTCACACCGCGGCCGATGTCCGATGTAAGACGTCCGATATCCAATAGGAGAACAGCTTCCTAATACAGAATTCAATTCTCCATTGAAAAGCTATTCTTTTATTGGATATCGGACGTCGTACGTCGTACGTCGGACGCGGTGTGAATCCTGCATTACATCGTGTACTTGATACGCGTACTAAATAGTAACTTTCTATTAGATAATCTTAATATTGACAATGCATATCAACGGCAACGCGTTCAATCAATACAATACGTTTTCTTGATGTTTCTTGAGGTTTCTTGAGTTTTATACCAGCTTAATATACCGTTGTTTATATATATCGTCGATATTAAGATTATCTAATAGAAAGTTACTATTTAGTACACGTATCAAGTGCACGATGTAAACCAAGCTATTATGAAACAACAAAGTCTTGATCAAATAAGGATTTCTCCAACAAGGCTTCTTTAATTCTTAAGATAAGGATCATCTATGAATACGGGCATTTAACTTCAAGTGGACGGGCGATTAGTAAATTTTTGTATTTCATTGGCATATTCTTTTAGATTTAAAAATATAGACAAATCATAGATGTAAAAGCTCACTGAGCGCTTAGTGAGTGGTTGCAATAAATGTATCTATATAATATCAAAACAGTGCAGCCGTGGCGCATAGACATGTCCAAACTTGTTTGGACGTGATCTAATGGCTTCTGCACACAGAACGCGGCAACGCTTGCCGCGCGGCGGAAGTTCGCGCAACAGCTAATCAATGGGCGCATTCAGTAGAAAAAGCGCTCAGTGAGCAATCAACGATTATTGGTTCTTGCTATTAGATCCCTAAATCTAGACCAATTACATTGACAAATTACTCAACTGTTGTGCAACTGTTGAGTCTGCTGAATGCAACCAATATGTTGTTTTTCCATGAGAGCTACAAGGTTATTATAGAAAGCAGCATATTGATTGGCTGTCGCACGAACTTCCGCTGCGCAGCAAGCGTTGCCACGTCCTGTGGGCAGGAGCCATAATGGTTTGTTCTTTTCAGTTGCACTGCTGAGCTGGTGCAATAATTTAGAGTGAGAGAACATATACTTGTCTCACTTTAACTTATTGCACCAGTTCAGCAGTGCAGCTGAAAAGAACAGACTATAAGATTTTTTTTGGAAACAATCCTCGAAATTATTTTCGGAGAATATTAATTTATACTTAATTCATAATTCAAATTCTTAATTCATATTTAACAATTAGAATGGTGTTGGGGAAAAATTGTAAAATTGCCTTAAACTAATATTGAGAGAGAGAGAGAGAGAAATATCAAAATAACCTTACTCCAACTTCATTAGTCATGGCACTTATAGCTGCCGAATGTCGATAGTCTACTAGTAGTGTTTACGTGAACTTTGAGTATCGGTATAAGAAATATATACGTCATTACGATCATTATACGTGTGCTAATTTTTTTCAACATAAATATTTGAAACTAAACTAGATATCGAGATCTAAACAATGGCACCGGGGTATAACAGAACAAATAACGTTCAGCTGCATAACGTTCCTCCCATGTCAACAAGGTAAAATTATATTCATTGTCAACATACGTTGATAACCTAAGTAATCAGTTAAATATATTTTTTTATAAAAATTGTAAATATAATTTAGAACATTAACATACTCATATTTGTATATTTGTATATTTACTTCATATTTAATATTTGTAAATTTGTATATTTGTGTATTTAAAACATCACATGCTCATATTTGTATATGTTTAAATATATATTATATTAAGAGGTAATATATCATATTGAGAAGTTACTGATATGACAAGTTGCTTTCTTCCACTAACAACTTAATAACAATTTTTTAATAGTAGCATTAATATACAATTATATTTCTTAAATAATTATGATAAATCCAACCATTACTTTCATTGTTTTCATTGTTACTTTCATTGTTACTTTATATGTTATTTTAGATATTGTTGTTACAATTTTCATATCCATGAAGAAGAGTTGTCAGATATATATGGACTTATATATATAGATCGTAATAGAAATAAGAAGAATATAAAAATAAGAAGTCCTCTTAAAAATGACTAGTTTCTTTAATCATAATAACAATAACAATTTGTTTTTCAAAATGGTTATTGATAAGAGTAATTAACTATTTTTTGCAATAGATTATAAGCAACAGTGGCTAGTTTATTTTAAAAAGTACTTTTCTCAAATCTAGTCAGTATACATATAACAATTTGGATCAAAGGTTTTTAACTATTTTGTACAGATCTCATTTTGGCAATCTAATGAAGTCTATAGATTCTTCTTTAGTTTAGTATATCTAAATATATGAAGCAAAAATAGATAAAATTACAAAAATGAAACTAATTCTATTAAAATCAAATTATTGAAAGAGAAATAAATTTACTAAATTTATTTTGTTTATTGTGTATGCTTTTATTGTATGTTTGCTGATTTTACTTTGAGATTAATAAGATTAATAAGGATGAATATTTTTCTATTTTAAATTTACAGGTCTTCTCTAAAATCTGTTTAAGAATCTTTGAGAGATCCATAATTCCCAAGTTAACAATCTCTGTCTAAGTTATTTCCTTAGTTAATACTCACTTCCTTTATTGATACTCTTCCTAAAAACTTATATATCAATATGTAAAACTTATATATTAATATATATTAATATGTAACAGAGATTATATATATAATTTACAAAGCGTATGAAAAAATTTAATATAATATATAATTGATTATCAATGATTCACATATATTATACGATAATAAAATACATGATAATTACAAAAAAAATTGTCATTTTTCTATTAAACTCTTAAATTAAATTTTCTAATAAATTAAAAAGGTTGGGTATTAATAAAAAATCCTCATTAGATGTCTAAAAAAGTACTGAGTCATTGTAGTTCATTTAATATGTAAAAATTATTAATTTGAAATTGAATAATTTTGTCTTCTATTTTACTTGACATACCTCTTGCACCTTTTGCATTTTCATTAAGAGCATATACTAATAATAGTAAAATTTTTTAAATCTGTATTACAGCATGTCAAATGAATATAAGTCTACTATTCAGACTCCTACAACTAATCCATCTCCAACACCTCTAATGCCACCTCCATTGCCACCACGCTTTCCTGTAGAAGGTTATAATGCAGGATATAATACAGGATATAATACAGGATATAATACATACAGACCATTTGGCCTTAATTATTTAAACAATGGATATGGAGGCATAGGCAATTACAGAAATTATAGTGGATACAATTATCCTGGCAATCAGGTTTTTTATCATGATATGCCCATGCATAATAACCATGGGCTATTTGGATATGGAAATGTTGTAAATAGGTATGTTATTGATGAAAAAAATATTATTTAATTTGTATATTTAATTTACAAGTTTAATAATAATTTTAACGATTAAGATATATAAGAAAGGGATATTAGAAAATTATAAAAATTGTTAAACTTTTATCTGGAGAAAAAGTCTTCTCCATGCTTCTCCAAATGCATGCTTTATCCAAAAGGATTTGTTTTATGTTAGCTTTCAGCAATATGTCGAAGAAACTACGAGACCAGTTGTTAATGTAGTAGAATCTGTGTTAAATACATTCGCATCTATCACAGCAATAGCAGAATCAACACACTATGGCCTATTAAATTCGTTTCGAGCATATGAATCTTTAGTAGATAATGCTGGCAGAATGCGATCAACATTCGGACAACTGTTAAGCACATTCAGTTTAATTCGACTACTAAAATGGATTTATAACAAACTTCTAGCCTTGTTTGGTAAACTTAACATACAATTAAAAACTTACATTTAAATTTATATAGTATACAATTATTTTTTAAATATTTATTGCTTCCTCACATAGGTCGAGAAAAGCAAGACACTCTAGATGAAATTTTGTGGCAAAATTCTATATCAAAAATAAATGAAGGAAAAGGATATACAACTATTCTCACATGGCATACAAGTTTTCTATTTGTCATCATTTTTGCCATCATTCCATATTTAATTCTTAAAATTATGAGTAATGTAAGGCAGATTCAAATACAAGGTAAAGACTATATTTTTACAAGTAACAATTGTTTTAGTTTAATACTTTTTTGTCATCAAAGTCCTATACTTAACAGAAAGTTTATAATTATTTTTATTAGAATATTCCATATATTTTTTAAACATCTTTTACATTAAAAATTTTTTCCCGTAATAATTTTTAGTTTCTGATATCTTTTAAAATACATTTTCTTACACTCTTCTGTATAAAACTGATAGTATAAATATGAGAATATCTTATACATATTAAACAAATTTACAGTTAATAATCCAAAAAGTTGGTTGAAGAGCCGGTATCCTGTGCAAGTGGCACATGCGTTATACGATTTCGCGTCAGTTTCTAATGAGGAATTGAATTTGACAGTTGGTCAGAAGATATGGCTGGCACCACAATCGTTACAATCTAAAAACGCGGCAGGTTGGTTAATAGCCACCGATGGTAAAATGGTCGGTTTAGTACCTAATAACTATATACAGATAACAGGACAGGTGAAAAAAGTAGATTCAGTAAATGACGAAACTGTTATTGCGTCTCAAAAAGTTGTACAAAATGAAAACGCTTCTAAGCAAATATCTGATAATAGCGCTTGTGAAAATATGGTATCTGAATCCACTAGTTAACAATATTTAAGATGACATACTTTCCAAATGTACTGGGGATAATTTCGTTTCGGTAAACGGATTCAGCATTGCGTTAATCTTGAAAGCATAAAGCATACTATTTACCTTTATATTATACATATGACTGAGATATTATTAAATATATATAAAGCACATGTAGGGAGCGAACTATCATTGATATTACAACCAAGGAGATAAAATAACATGAAAAAATAAAAAATATATCGAATATAATATGTTCAATGTTTTGTTTCTGATAAAATTAATTTTGGGAAACGAAACACATAAAGTTGTATTTACTCTAGATATTAATTAAATTAAATTAATTATATTAAATTGATCAATTCTCCTGCAAGGAAGTATATATTACATTGTATTTAGCAAAAATAAAAAGAAAGCTCAGGAAGCATTTCCCAAATACCACAATATAAAGATATTCTATTCAAGAGTCTGCAATTTTTTAGCAATATTTTCTTGCATTTTATTTTATATTAAATATTCAAATGATATCACTATTTTTCATATTATAAAATATTTTACCTTTTATTTGATGTTTTATAGAGTATAATTTTCTTAATATTTGTATCTTTAGAAGAGAGAGGTATAACTGATATTTTTATTCTAGTTAAATTAACCCTTTGCACTCGGAGACATATTTGCCACATTTACGATGTCCCCTTTGAGGGGACATCCGAGTGCAAAGGATTAAAAATTAAGTAGAGCAATATAATCATATCAGCATATGAAGTTATTGGATGTGTAATATAAAAATTTTAATTACAATATTTTGTGAAAAATAAGAACTTTAAAGTTTTAACTTATTATTATGATCAGAATTTATATATGTCAGAACGTATACTTGCAAAATGTAAATTTTATATTTTATGTCAATCTGTTTATTCATTTTTGAGGAGAAAAATGAGAAACTTTGTTTAGTTTCTTCATTGTCATTGTCCAATAAATGTATTAAAGTGATTCACATAGAAATATGAAAAATTACACTAATATGTTGTATAATTTATGAAAACTTATACACAATTGTGCCATGCACTTTGCTACATAATACATAGATAAAGTAATTGAAAATAAATATCTCACATTTGTAAATTTTGTCTTGTGTTTATTAAGCATACTTATCAATACACATTTTATTGGGGATTTATACAGGAATATGTATGTAATAAATATTTTATATTGTTAAGTTGCTTGTGTTAATTATTATCAACGTCCTTCCAAAGTGAAAAGTGCGAAGACAATTTGTATACAATATAAAATATTGTGAATATCAACATTATATTCGAGATAAATATATTTACGACTTCATTCTTTTATAATTCAGTATCATGTTGTACTTAGCATATGATAGCTGTCATTGTGCATTTGACAGTGGACGACCCTCTCTTTACCGTATGATAGAATGAAAAAGAAATAGAAATAATGTAATTTTTCTTCACTTTGTCTTAAAGTGTCAACTTCTTACTTCACTCTCTGTGTGTGTGTGTGTGTGTGTGTGTGTGTGTGTGTGCGTGTGTGTGTGTGTAATATTCGGTCTATGTATATATGTCCAGTACAAAGAAATTAAAGAATATTGTCAATCAACAAGAAACAAACGTTATCAAAGCTACTTCCCTTATTGATGAAATTAGAGCAAAAACAATTTAGAAAAAACAGTAGAAAAATCAAAAGAAAAATGGATATACAAATGAAGACGATAACTTGAGTATCTCTAACTATATTTCCTATCATGACTATTGGTGATAGAACCCAAAACTACTATTACTGACTCTTTATATACGACGTTGATCTTATAAATGTTTTACACAAAGTTACATCTATATGTGTGTACATGCAATCAATATGTGTATTAATAATTAATATAATAAGTAATATATAAAATTAACTGTTAGAGTTTAGCAGAACACAATGGTTTAGTGTAAAAATCTGAACATAATTTACATGATCATGTAATGATTTATAAATTATCAATTTGAAAAGACGAATTCTATGCACTTGCCACAATACGATCGCAAAAGGTAAGAAGTATCAGAATAGTTCATACGGTATCTTTACTCTTCAAAATGCCCGTTTAACGGGAAGAAGATAACTTTAAACTATAATTTCTCCTGGTTAAAATGCAGATGAAAATCGTAAAAAAAAATTATCTAGTCTAATCATGTATCCATGCTGTAAGATATTGCCTCAGTTTAACTGAGGGATGCTGAAGCCAATGACGAACTCGAACAATGTCGATACACAGAGACGATCGTTACTAACACAATCACGCTATTCTTTTTATATTTCTTGTACATACAGAACTTATATAAATGTGTGTTGTTTTATTATATTCAGCGAAAAATCTAATCACACATGTGTAAAAATGTTTCTACAAACTTTTCGGATATTCTTAAGCTTCTGAATTCAGATGCAAAGGTACAACAATGCTCTTCAAATTTTTTCTGTTTGGAACATCTACACTTCCGGTATGTACAAACTTTTGGAGTTTGGCAAATATCATACGCTGATAGCTTGACATTTTATATTAAAAAATTTTTTTAAGATTTTCGTCAGATATTAAGCAATGCTCCTATTTATTTTACACTACTTTCGTACTTACGTAAAATCATTTGTAATCCTATATAACCAATACAACATAAACTTCGCAGAAAAATGTCAGTATTTTGTCGGTAAAGTTTTCAACGTCAGTATCTTTTTAAATTTATTACATTTTTACAGGAAATTAACAATTTTTGTTACATAAGGTAAAGCAAAATTTATTTAAACACGCTTTGTTTGTTTCAAAGATTACAGTTGCCTGAAAGCTTTTCAGTTAAAATGTGCTGAATGTGATTACAAGAATACACATACACACGCTCGTGAAAAATGTTTTCATTAAATGTTTATTATTTTCCAAATTCCAAGAGGTTTTATTTATAAATTAAACTCAAGATATAAGGCATACGAAGAACGATATAACGCAGATAACATAATATTTAGCGAAGAACACTTGCCATCATATCTTCATGTAATATACGATTTTAGTAAAACACAATTTTGGTAAAATAAGTGCTTTTTGGTAACCTTAAGAAATTAGAGACTTACAATTGGCTGATTGATAGTATAAACGACAGTATAAATAACAAAAAATATATATGCCTTACAATTTAAAATATATAATCCAGATTTCAAAATGTATCAACATTTAAAGTACACTTGTACAATGACATAACTGTTATATTTTATGGTATTCATGATTGTAATATAATTATAAGCCCTTTTAACAGAGTTTTTTATATCGTCGTTCTTCAATTAAAGAATGATCCTATAACTTAAATATTAATTAATTTTAACGATGCAAGAAAACAAGAAGATTTTACAGGTTGCATCTTCTCTATAAATTATAGATAAATCTTTGTAAACATACACAGTATAGACTCTATTTAAACGTTTTACGGCGCATATAATATAAAATTTGCTAACTGATGAATTTTACAGCGTATATAACTGAAGTGGTTTGGATTAATCTGATTTGATGTTCAAGTAAATCTGATATTATAATGAGCTCAGGTGTGTTAATTTCGCGAACATAATTATATATATTCTTATCGATATTCCAGATGAAGAATTGGAAATTAAATTTGGAATGATGGCTTTTTAAGTGCTTAAAACAATTACTATTTACAGACAAATAAAATACATTTCAAGTCAGACATTCGTAACAATTGATTTCTTTTTTTTATCGCTTCTTGAACGAATCAATCCTGAGTAGAACATCATATTAATTTTCTAAATTCCAAACCATCATCTTTCGTCTTTCGATGGCAAACGAGTTTATTATGTTTGCAACAATATAAGACACGTTTTTCTTTCCGAAGCATCACATATGTGCCGTAGTTTGCAGTCCCTTAAAACTATTTACACTTCATGTGAAAAAGTCCGTAATCGAGGATTTCAAAATATATATATATATATATATATAATATATATATGTATACAGGGTATAATCTTTGACATCATTATCAGTGATGTTCATTATCAGCGGTTCTCGACACAACCAGAGCTAATCGATATGGGTGTTTCGGTAAACACATCACGCACTTCCTTTTCACTAAAGTTCTGCCGGGGGAAGCTTACATTCGCCGTGGCTGTCTTGTAGAAGGAATCTCGGCGTCCACGAACGTGTTACATTAATATACGACGAATGTATAACTTATATAACAGTGGGAGACTCTTGTGTATAACTTGGACAGCGTATGTGTAATTCGCATATGCACAAAAGAGAAAGTACCAACCCTCTATGGTCCATTTAACTGTATAACAACTTATTAAATAGTTTACGCAATATAATATTATTTTGTCGCAACAAGATTGAAGCTAATTTGTACGATATATCGCTTTTCTTAAACTTGTTGCTGAATTCATTTTAGCAAGAAGTTTAACAAAAATATTGAAAAGACTAACGGAAGTATCAATCAAAGACTTCGATAACGCGATTTATCTTTGAGAACATAAAGATACAAGTGAATGAAGATTTCTCTTATCTCTACAATCGACTTAGTTTCAAGAAATGGAATTCATGAAATCAGTATATATCCGATGTTTCCGAAAAAGAGTGTCATGTTGTCCATAGAGGGGATTAGGATAACAAAAGATGCATAAATGTGATATTTATAATAACTATAATAATAATTTTTTGCCGTTGTTCCCCTGTATTATCATTTCGAATGTAATGTCATATAATCATCGTAGAATTATTAGCGGCACATCCCATATTAACCAGGAAATGCGGTTTCATATGAACACATAATCAAGTTGCTTAGCATCCTTGAGTCGAGTTTACTGTGGTATTCACATCACATCTTAGAATTACCATTCAGCGTCTCCGTTCGCTTTTTGAAACACATAATCTTTCCCACTTAGATTCATTATACCGTCTTTCAGATAAAATTTCCATTTGTTTCTACTCCTTGTGATCTGAAAGAAGAATGACATAAGTACGAATAAAAATTACTTCTACCTAATTGTAAAGATACGCTGAAGTTTAACATTTCCACGTAGTCACAGCCGTACCTTATCGTACTGACATACGACTACATTATCGGTATCAAAAAGATCCGCTGGATCGTCGTCGGTAACATCATCTTCGGAATTTAGGGGATCCTGAGAGATAGAGATTTTACGTGAGCCAATTCAAACTGTCAAGCATAAAAGTTTATTGAAAGTATACCTCTTCACGAGCTGCCGCATCATCGTTCTCCTCTTCCTCTTTATCATCAAGATCTTCATCGTCATCATCGTTGTCTTCCTCTTCTTCTTCGTCATCATCATCGGAGGAGTCGCCCGCCGCTCCGTCTAATTGAGCTATGTTATTTTGCTGTTGGCAAGCAAAGTACATTACATTATATTCTTCATGTAATGTGTACATACCACATGAATTTATTATGTCCATTATCTAAACTAAATCATTACCTGACTCTGTACTGGCCTCTGTGTAACAATATTGTTTGTACTTTGTGTGACCACTTGAATAGGTTGATTCACTTGTAATGGCGCTAACGTAGATTGCCCCTGTAGTGTAGCATTTACATGTTGCTGTAGCAAGGTCGAAGCCAAGTTCGCTGGAAGACCCATAGCGGCGGAAATTACAGGACCTGTTAAAATCGTGTGCAGCTGATTCTCTGAAAGAAAAAAAAAACATGCAATCTTTCCTTATTTATCTCGTTGATTAATACGTTTCGATTTCATTGCTCGTTAATCTACTTTTGCAATGATACGAATGAAGATCAACCACGATAAGATTCTCTATATTACATAAAGTAATTTTGATTAATTTTTTAATATGAGAAAAATATATAACTCTACATTACGCAAATTAAAATATACAAGAATCGTAATCCTCGCTGCGTCTCAGTTGTCGATAACGTATTCATTAATATATTTGATTACACTCAATTTGATTATTATTAATGTATTAAAGTGTATAATCATCTTATCACATCTTCACCTTGAATCGCGGATGCAGGAACTTGTATAGTTAAAATCCGTTGCGGAGCGTCTGGAACGCCAGTTTGGGGCGGCAAGGTGATCTGGATGGGCACTTGTCGGTCGAGTACAGCGGCAGGAGTAGTGACCACTTGTTGCACTGGCGCTGACGAATGTTGTTGCAATGTTGTTGTCCCTGCTGTAGAATGTGTGTGCTGTTGAGGTTGCGTAGGTCGTTGCTGCTGCTGTTGCGCTTGCTGCTGTTGTGGTTGCTGTTGTTGCACCTGCTGCTGCTGCTGCTGCTGCTGCTGCTGAGACTGTTGTTGTTGCGGCTGCTGCACTTGTGGTTTTGATTGTGGTTGTTGCTGGGGTTGCGTCGATACTGAATTCCCGGTTTGTATATAATGATTTCCTACAGAAGCTGATGCCATGTATATATGTGTAGTAAAAAAATAATTATATATGAATTTCGTCTTTATATGCAAATAGTATATAATCATATGTAATTAAAAATGCCCATACTGAAAAAAATTGTGTTGTACAATTAAGATAAATATTTATATTTTTTTAGTGGCTCATGATGTCAACGTTTAGTAGAATAAAACTATTTCTTTCTTTCTTCATTCAATAGCATTTTTTTCCATGTGGACTAATATAATAATATGTGTAATCATACAAAGACAAAATTCATATATGACATATACAGGATGTCTGACACAAAAGTTCCCAAAGCACATGAGCAAATAGAATATATAAACCTGAAAAGATCCTCTATCATTTTTTAAGTAATTATGTAAAAGATTTCAAGATATTAATAAAAGATTAGTGAACTAGAGAGTGCAATGTTATGGAACGAGATCCATAGGTGTGATCTCATTGAAAATAGCTGAGACTTGCAACTGGTTTTTAGCAACACGCTCACAATATGTCGAAAAACAATTGTCTCCGCACTGCTCGCATTCTTACTCCACTTTCAGTTGTCAGCCCATAGTCACTATCGCTAAGAGGTAGTCGCGTTTAATATCTTAAAATTTTATATGGTTGTTTAAAAAATGATAGGGATTTTTTACTCAGGGTGACATGCTCTACACACATGCTTTGGAAATTCTTGTATCAAACATCCTATATAATTATACTATAATTTATATACAGAATGTTCTCCAGTTCTCATCCATGATTTACAAGGTGTTATTCATTGTTATTACATGTATCACGTCTGTTCTTTTTAGCTGAACTATTATTATAATAAAACTTTGTTCCTTTCCCTTCAGTGCTATATTATACACTTATTTAATTCTAATGACAAAATATATAACTTAATTCAATAAAAAAGAACAAACTTTTTATTCAGAGTACTTTTTATTCAGAATATCAACCATTAACTGGATATTTTGTGTGCAGCATTGTGCAGGTTACATTCTTGTAATGGTTGTAATAAAAAGCTAATGTTTAACTTTTATTGGTATATTTACCTTTATTGATACTTATAGCTTTGAGCGGATTGAGTTGAGGAATTTGTGATTCTGGTGGATCTGGATTCATCTCCACAGCTTTACAAGATAGTAATTTTGTTTCCCATATCTGTTTCAACTCTTGCAGAACTTGTTCATCTACACCCTCGTCTATGAAAGATTCTCGTACTCCAGATATTACATCTTCTATCACAGTATTATATAGTTTTAGCTGTAAATAGTCAAATAAGGTTAATTTTCTGACACTAATGAAAAAAATTTTATATGTACATATATCATAAACTTAAAAGAACAAGAGAGAGAGATGTGTAATAATTAACATATAATAAATAACACAAAATATAAATTAAATAATTAAAAACTTATCGCTATATTAGAATAATTCAAATATCATATTTAAACTCTAAAATGTTCAGGAAATTGAGCTTCCAGAAAGTAAAAATTTTGAGTTTTCTTTTCAACTTGCTCGAACAAATAGCAGAACACAGAACCATATGGACAATATTTTAACTTTATCACAATGTTATATTAACTCAAATGATTTATCTCTGCCTAATAATAAAAATTGTGATAAATATAATGTAACAATTTAAAAGGATTCTATAAGGGAAATATTTGGATATCTGAGAGTAATACATGAACTACACAGTAATACTCAGAAATTGAAACAACCAATGTCAATATAATGCCGCGTGTCGTAGTCTGTGCTGCTTAAAGGATTAAATATCTTTGGCCGAACGTGTTGTATTAATTACAAGGACACTGTTTTTTCTCACCCAGTCTACGTGTGAGGTTAGCAGCAGTTTGTCAATATGTGTCGAGTACTCGCTATTGACAGCCAGAGATAGAAAAATCGACTTTGGCTCATGAAGCACATAAGTTCCGGGCGATGTTGGAGAGGATCAAACATTGGGAAGAAGCAAATTGCTCATTCACAAAGGAAAAACTTGACGACGGATCTTTCGCGGTACAAACCCACCTCTCCCCTCTATCGTATTTATTCGTTCAAATTCGTTCAATTCGTTCATTCGTTTACTCACCACGGTGTTGTGACTGAGAGACATCGTGGCACACAAGGTTGAAAAAAAAAGTACGTTCAACAGAGGAAGCGATATCGGGAATACGACGTAGCTGACAAGTCTTTTCTTCTAAAAGATACGCTACAGCATCACCATTTGCAGTTGCTCGTATATGTGCAGCAATAACCGTCCCACTACACTCTGCTGCGAATAACCAGCGACTTGCTTCGCTTACATCAACGACCCATCTACTCGACCATCGACGAAATATCACGGAAGACTGACGGTTTTATCATGTCTTATGGAAAGTTTACATCGAGCAAGATGTCCGACCGACATTGTTCCAATAGTAGCCAATGAGGGTGCCATTAGGGTGTGTTCAGATGGAGAAAGAAATAGCGTAATGGCTCCTGCACACAGGACGCGGTAATGCTTGCCGCGCGGCGGAAGTTTGCACGACAGCCAATCAATATGTTGTTTTTCCATAAGAGCTAGAAGGTTATTACGGAAAGCAGCATATTGATTGGCTGTCGCGCGAACTTCCGCCGTGCGGCAAGCATTACCGCATCCTGGGGTGCGTTCGAAAACACTGAAAGTCCACGACGGAAAGTGGCTGTGGTGGATGGGCTTGGTGGGGTTAGTGGAGTTGGTATCGAGAGGAGTTTTCGAACAGCCATGGAAGAATGCTCAATGTGACATATTACATGTGTGTTGTGCCTACATATGTGTTGTACAAAATGGCTGATCGAAAGCGTATTTCGACTTTAGCTATAATTGCTTCTCAGCAAAATAATAATAAATTAATAAATTTAGTAATTAATTAATTAATTAATTTAGTAATTATTAATTTATAATTTAGTTATCTGGAAAGTTAATTGGCTATATATTTCTCGGTCCGAGAACTCGGATCGATTTCTAGCATCGTGGGCACCAGGCCTAAGGAAATTTATAAACTTATTTATTACTCCTTACCTTTAACATCGTATATATAGACATTTCCCTTGTCATCCTTTTGTATATTTTTTTAAATATCCATGCATAAAATATGACGACCCGAGATTAAATTTTCCATTTTTTTTCACAAATTGTTACTGATTCGTGACTTTTAACGTGCCTCGTATCTCGTAAGAAAATTTCAGAACCTATAAAATACAAAAAGCTTAATAAGCTTTATTTATATTTAAAGACAATATTCTGACAATATACATCACTATAGAAATAAACCTAAACCTGGCTAACCTACACTGCTGTATTTAAATTTTTTATCTTACCGTGATGGCTAATGGTTGTACGAATGTTTCGAAGAACAAAAAACCATAAATAATTTAGTAATTTCATACTGTATTGCACTCTTTGCGCACTCTCCACCATCTCCACCGATTCACACCGCGCAAAAGAGAGTGGAGAAAAGTCACACGAGTGGTCCACGGAGTACGGTTTTCGAACAGCCATGGTCGCATGGTCAGTGTGCCCACTAGGGGTTTTCGAACGATCTGAGTGTTACAAAATACACACGGGTGATGTTTTCGAACGCACCCCTGTGTGCAGGAGCCATTAAAGTTAATAAGAGTAGCGGCTTGAAAAAAGATTTGATATTTGCGACGTGAAGTGGATTTTTTATTATTTAGATTTTATTATTTATTATTAAAAAATACCAAAATATAAGCATAGTTGAAAATAATCCTAATCTTACCCGACATACATACACATTAGTACACACTTTGTTCCAATTAAATCGTGCACAACGTTACACTTTGTGCATTTCTGTGTATATATGTGTCAAGATGTGTTAAGCAATTGGAAAGCACTCAATATTAACCTTGAGAAATGAATTTATGGATCCTAGGAATTTTTGGATGTTGTCAATGCTGTCCCCTCTTTTTTTTATGGATTTTGTCCCCTTACCCTCTTGTTGGAAAGCAATCAAGGAAAATAGAAAAAGCGCCGGAAGAAAAGCGGAACGGCTATAGTCGTACTAACTCCGCACGTTCCGTTCCATTGAAAATTTCCGCTCCGTGGAACGGCGCCCTAAGGACCAATAATCACTAACCGCTCACTGATTAAGCTTGGGAATTTTTTGAAATGGGTCGATTGAGTACCACTGTTCGTCGGATTTCCAATCCGACAACTTATTGTAAACACCCTTTATGTCACCCTTTATGTACTATAAATTCTCCGTAGTGGCAGTGAGTGGCTTGGTTTACATTGGCTGCATTCAGTAGACTCAACAGTTGGGCAACATTACTAGATTTTCTACTGAATGACGCTCCGCTCAGTTGTTACATCTCAACAAGTTGAGGGAGCGGACGCCATATTTTGTAGCGGTTTTCATTTACGCTATTTGAGCGGAAAGTGATACAATCTAACATGGCGACGTCTAGTGAGAAAAGTGATGTCATAGAAAAAATATATGAATATAAAGGAGAGTTATATAAAATAATAGAAAATGCTGATTTTCATACTCGTCTTCAATCAGGTATGTAAGAATAATAATAAATGTTATTATTCGAAATAATTTAATGTAATATATTTATTATTATTAATAATCTAACCTCTCTTTTTGTAATATACTTGCATATATTACTGACATTACTGGCATAAAAAATATTTTGATTTATTGTTTTGTTATTACTAGTATAATATCTGTAAAGGCTTAAACTAATGGCTGACTTAATGGTTAAAAACAATTATGCCCTAAAATAAAAATGTAAGGCATATTTGTTTTTATGTATTAAATCATATGTTTATCTTTATTTAATTTGAAGAAAAAACAAAGACAGAAATATAATTTAACTATCAATTAACTAACCAAGAAGTTGGAACAATCGATCCTTAAACCTTAATCATATATATTATTTTGTTAACATTTACAAGAAATATTTATAAGTGTAAGAAATACTTATACATACTTATACATGTAAAAATATTAAATTAACAATAATTAAACTGTATTACACATTGTCGTAAGTTCACAAGATAGCTATCCTGCTTATTCTGCTAGGTCCTGTATGAACGTACAGATTTCCTGTAATAACATAACATAACTTTATAATGCAATGTTGTTTTATAAATTATTCGTAAGTATTTCAAATTTAATTTTACTGTCAAACTACTCTTAACTTAACCTTATCCGCTTTGATTTTAAAGTAATACATTAGAAGTAGCCATCTTTACTAGTAGCGATATCACAAATGAATCCAGTAGAAAATTCATAACGGAGTTCGATCCATCGGAAACAGATGTCTCAACTGTTGAGTCTACTGAATGCAGCCATTGGGTGTTTACGATAATTCGAGTTGGAGTTAGTACGAGTTAGTTTCATTAGAGCCGAAAAATATGATAGGCACAAGCATCTAGTATTTTCATGATTCATGACAACTCAATGCTGTCCGATAAATCGAGTAGAGTTAGGATAACATAGTGGATAGTATATGTATAAGAATTAACAATATCAGGTAACATAGTTTCGTAAAATATATAACAATAATATTACGAATCAATGAGTTGTTACATTTTAGAAAAATTAGAAGCACTAAATTAAATTATGAAAAGATATCATGTATTTGTAAAATATTCAAAAGTAGAAAACAATTATTCTAACCTATTATTAATCTGTTATTATTGAATATTTCACAAATACATGATATCTTTTCATAATTTAATTTAGTGCTTCTAATTTTTCTAAAATGTAATAAATCATTGTTTCGTAATATTATTGTTATATATTTTACGAAACTATGTTACCTGATACTGTTAATTCATATACTATCCGCTATACTACCCTAACTCTACTCTACTCGATTTATCGGACAGCATTGAGTTGTCATAAATCATGAAAATATTAGATGTTGTATCTATCATATTTCTCGGCTCTGGTGAAACTAACTCGTACTTACTCCAACTCGAATTATCGTAAACAGCCATTGTGCACTTGATATGCGTACTATATAGTAACTTTCTATTAAATAATCTTAATATTGACAATGCATATCAACAATGACGCATTCAATCGATACAATAAGTCTTCTTGATCAGTATTATACCAGTTTAATATACCGTTATTTATATACATTGGCATGGTTTACATTGTGCACTTGATACGCGTACTAAATAGTAACTTTCTATTAGATAATCTCAATATCAACAATGCATGTCAACAGCGACGAATTCAGCGATCATCTATGTTTTTTGAACGCAGCCATTGGTTGCGTTCAGAACAGAAAGCTGCTTTGCAACTGTTGTAAAATTCGTGAATCTGATTGGAGTATACTCTTAATTTTGGTTAAATCCAAAAACATATATCAACCAGATTTACGAATTTTTCACAGTTGCAAAGTAGCTTTCCTACTGAACGCAGCCATTGGCTTGGTTTATATCGTGCACTTGATACGCATATCAGGTACTATATTCGTATCAAATTTGTACTAAATATTTAATACGCACGATGTAAACACTGGCTTGGCTTACATCGTGCACTTGATACGCGTATTAAATAGTAACTTTCTATTAGATAATCTTAATATCGACGATATATATAAATAACGGTATATTAAGCTGGTATAATACTGATCAAGAAGACTTATTGTATCGATTGAATGCGTCTTCGTTGATATGCATTGTCAATATTAAGATTATTTAATGGCTTGGTTTACATCGTGCACTTAATACGCGTACTAAATAGTAATTTTCTATTAGATAATCTTAATATCGACAATGGCTTGGTTTACATCGTGCACTTGATAAGCGTACTAAATAGTAACTTTCTATTAGATAATCTTAATATCGATGATATATATATAAACAACAGTATATTAAGCTGGTATAATACTCATCAACGAAACATATTGTATTGATAGAATTCGTCGCTGTTGACATGCATTGTTGATATTGAGATTATCTAATAAAAAGTTACTATTTAGTACGCGTATCAAGTGCACAATGTAAACCATGCCAATGTATATAAATAACGGTATTTTAAACTGGTATAATACTGATCAAGAAGACTTATTGTATCGATTGAATGCGTCGTTGTTGATATGCATTGTCAATATTAAGATTATTTAATAGAAAGTTACTATATAGTACGCATATCAAGTGCACGATGTAAACCAAGCCACTCACTGCCACTACGGAGAATTTATAGTACATAAAGGGGTGCGTTCAGATTATTCATCCGGGTGCACTCTATTACTAGAAACACTATAGTATATGTGACATATACTATAGCACTTCTAGTAATAAAATACACCCGGGTGGGGAATTTGAACGCAGCCAAGGGTGACATAAAGGGTGTTTACAATAAGTTGTCGGATTGGAAATCCGACTGAACAGTGGTACTCAATCGACCCATTTCAAAAAATTTCCAAGCTTAATCAGATTTTAGTAAAAGCTGTCTCAGCAGTAATCCAATTAGCTTCATAGCGACGTGAAGTGATACTTTGTCCTCAAGAGAAATAAAAAGATAAAAGTAGATACGTACGTAATTATTATTCTAATGATTAGCGCGTATCATTTTCCTTATATATCAATATATGAATAAATGATCTGTTACACTTTTACTGATATTAAATTAATGAAAAGAAGTATTAGTAATCTCATGTGTAGTAAACATTAACCTATAATAATATTGGATTTATGTTATAATTTCGTATGTAACAAAATAAGTATAAAATCTGTCAAATTAACATTTCAATCATACTAATTTTAAAATATATTAAGGACATTTATGCATTTAGATACATATAAATATATGTGCTTGTAAATAATTATAGATTACACATATGAACATGCACATATACAAGCACACATATTTATATGTATCTATATATAAATGCATAAATGTCTTAATATATTTTAAAATTAATATCTTTGAAATGTTAATTTGACAGATTTTATACTGTTCTTATTTTGTTACATACGAAATTATAACATAAATCCAATATTATTATAGGTTAATGTTTACTATACGTAAGATTACTTTTATCTTTTTATTTCTCTTGAGGACAAAGTATCACCTCACGTCACTATGAAGCTAATCCGATTACTGCTGAGACAGCTTTTACTAAAATCTGATTAAGCTAGGGAATTTTTTGAAATGGGTCGATTGAGTACCACTGTTCAGTCGGATTTCCAATCCGACAACTTAACGTAAACACCCCAAAGTATGGATTATGGGTGCGTTCAGGGAGCACGCTACCAACACTACCGCGTTCTTCTATCTTTATCGCTCCTTAGATATACAACAAAGGTAAAATGACATGGTAGCGCTGATAGCGCTAATAGCGAGCTCTCCGAACACACTTTTTCAGCGGCAGTAAACGCATCTGTAGTCTCAATGTTATTTGTTATATGGTTAAATTTCTACGTTAGAATAACTGTGAGGTACTTCGTTCTGCGAGCTGTGCATCCTAAGAAATAGAAAAACGTAGAATTGTAAGTCATGGAATCACGTTGTTGAGTGCTTAAATTGCGTTATCGCTCATATTGTCGTCGTCGTGTCGAAGTGTCGCCTAGAACGAACTGTCGAAACGGAGTTTCGTGGGTAAAGTCTCGTCGTACCTAACCTATAAGAGACACGCGCCACCATACGCAGCGGCGGATCGTAGCGCGGCTCGGTGTTCGTCGTACCTTTTGCTCCACCGTGCCGGCAACGGGCTATAATTCGGCTCGCTCTGCACAATTCTGTCGTTGCACGTTGTGGTGACGTGTCTCAATGTCGCTTTCTCGTCCACAATGGTCCCGACAATCCTCTTGTTCGTGTCGTGCCTTTTGTTTATCGTCGTCAGTTTAAGGTTATGTCATCGGTACGTCGTGATTCACGTGTAATTTGACTGTGACACCGAAAGGGACTCTCGCGAAATTACTCGTTGAGACATTTTCCTTAACGAATATTCGTAGCGGTAATATAAAATTGACATCGATGCGTTGTGACCTGCTCTTTGTAATGTTAATACGTTTGGCAGTAGAAAAGTATTGTCAATAACGAATATCACCGTACAGTTTATTTACGCGGCAGTAAGTTTGAACATTGCTAAAAATTTTATACCAGAGTAAAAATCTCTCTTTTTGTTCCTCCTCAGTTGATTCCTATACTAACTGTTGCATTGGAAAAATTCTTTGTGTATTTAAATTACATTGTAATGAGATTTCTTTGAACATATTGATGTTTACAGGTAAACAATGGCGAGCGCAGAATCACTCGCGGAAGTGACAGATGTTGTGCAAATTCTTCGACAATGGGAGGAAGAACATAGTTCTCCAAACTATGATCCTATTCCTGTTCTCCAAAGACTAGCGGAAATAATTGAGTTAGAAACAGAGAATTATCTGAAAATGGATCCAGATCCATTTGATGAAAGGCATCCATCACGTACTGATCCAGAATGTAACTTTGGGCACATACTAAAGGTTCTGTTTAGAAAGGATAACTTTATGACAAAGGTAATTATGTGTTACATGTAAAAATAGATATATATTTTTTTTTATTATATTTACAATTATATATTTATATATACATGTATATATATATATATATATATATATATATATATATATATATATATATATATATATATATATATATATAATATATATATATAT